TTTGTTCATAAAGTCTTTTCCTATGCCAATGTCTTCAAGAGTTCTACCTAACTTATCTTCCAGCAAGTTACCATGCTGTTTTTATCACAGTAGCTTTGTAGTATAATTTCAAGTCAGGGATTGTGATGCCCCCTGCCTTGCCATTGTTGCCCAGAATTGCTCTTGCTATTCTAGGTGTTTTCTGGTTCTAAATGAATTTTAGGGTTGTTTTCTCTTATTCTGTGAGATAAGCTATTGTTATTGTGATCAGGTTTCCATTAAATCTATATAACAATTTTGGTTTTTTTTGTTTGTTTGTTTTTGTGCCAGGGATCAAACTCGGGTCCTTGCACTTGCGCAGCAGGTGGCGAAACCACTGAACTAAATCCCCGGCCCCTCCATATTCTGATATCCTCTTTGATCTCCTTTTTTCAGAGCACTGTAGTTTTCCATGTAAAGGTTTTTTACATCCTTTATTAGATTGATTCCTAGGTATTTCATTTTTTTGGATGCTGTTCCGAAAGGTGTGATTTCCCTAATTTCTCTCTCACTGAATTAGTTATTTGTGCACAAGAAGGCTATTGATTTTTGAGTGTTAACTTTGTATCCAGCTATGTTACTGAATTTGGTTATTAAATCTAGAAGTCTCTTTTTGGGGTACCAGGAATCAAACTCGGGTCCTTGCGCTTGCAGGGCAGACGGGGGAACCATTGAGCTAAATCCCCAGCCCAAAATCTAGAAGTCTTTTGGTGGAGCTTTTGGGGTATCATGTAGAGTGTCCTGTCATCCACAAATAATGATAATTTAACTTCTTCCTTTCCTGTCCTTATTTCTTTTATTTGTTTCTCTTGTCTAATTGTTCTGGCTAATGTTTCCAGAACTCTATTGAATAAGAGTGGTGATGGTGGGCGAGCTGGGGATTTAGCTCAGTTGCATTATACCTGCCTCACAAGTGCAAGGTCCTGAGTTTGATCCTTATTACCAAAAAAAAAAAAAGGAAGAGTGGTGATAGTGGACATCCTTGTCTTGTTCCTGATTTTATTTATTTATTTTTAAACAAAACATTTATTGGTACATTTTAGATATAATGATAACACTCATCCCAGGGAATGTGCACCTTCACATGATATATCCTGCCTCTTCTTTTTTTCCCATTTCCCGCCTCCTTTCAACCCCCCTCTATATTCAAAAGCTTCGTTTCCATTTTTTCCTCGTCCCTTTCTTCTTCCTCCCCCTTCCCTGTCCCATTTGTTCCTGATTTTAGAGTGAAAGCTTTCCATTTTGGACCATTTAGTGTGATGTTGGGTGTTGGTTTGTCATAGATGGCTTTTATCAGATTGAGATAAAGACCATCTAATCCAATTTTCTGCAAGGTTTTTATCATGAATGGGTGTTGGACCTTGTCAAATATTTTTTTCTCCACCTACTGAGAGGATCGTATGGTTTTTGCTTTTGTGTTTTGAGGCAGGGTCTCCCTGTGTAGCCCAGGATGGTCTCTAACTCACCCATCCTCCTGCCTCAGCCTTTAGGGTGCTGAGATCACAGGTGTGCGCCACCTTGCCGGCTTCTAAATCCCCTTTGGATCAATAAAGTGTGTTTTTTTGTTTTTTTTGGTACCAGGGATCGAACTTGGGACCTTGCGCTTGTAAGGCAGGTTCCAGAACCCCTGAGCTAAATCCCTGGCCCCCTGGATCAATAAAGTTCAGAGGGATTTTATGTTGACCCAATTATTTTTTCTTTTGACTCTGTCACCAGTCATCTCTTGGCCACCTGCTGTGTGCCACAGACTACATTGGCTGCAGGGAGCCCACCGGTTAGTAGGGTGTAGAGATCATGAATTCATCCCTGGAAGGTCTCATGCCCAAGCAGACCTAGAAGTCAGGGAGGAGAGGAAGTGGCAGGGCTGGCAGTGAAGGTCAGGCTTTCTCAGCCTGAGGCCAAGTTGGGAAGAAACACATCCAAGCTGAGGTCTGCAGAACAAGGTGTCACAGGCAGTAGGTGCTGCTGTGCAAAGGCCCTGGAGTCGGAACAAGCTGAGGTGTTCGCAGGAATAGCAGGAGCTCACGGTCTAGGCCAGTGGGAGGAGCGAGGCTAGGCTGGAGGAGCCCTGGTGGATGAAGCCCATGAGCCCCAGATGCGCCTCTGGGAAGGCCAGACTGCCGACCTCCCCAGCCTGGGTGCTTCACGAGGTGGTGATGCATGGGCCAGGCAGGTATGAATAGGGACGGGAACACAGGATGGAAGGAATCCTCGAACGCTGTAGTACCAGCTGCTTGTGTGGGAGGGAGCTCCCTGTCTCTGGAGGCAAGCAAGCTGCCACCTCTTGTATTAGGCATCTAACCAGTGGGAATAAGAGCTAGCACGGGTGCCTTCTGCCCCCAGGTGTAAGACATGTGGAGAATACATCTACAAGGGGAAGAAATTCAATGCCCGAAAGGAGACTGTGCAGAATGAGGTGTACCTGGGCCTGCCCATCTTCCGCTTCTACATCAAGTGCACGCGCTGTCTGGCAGAGATTACATTCAAGGTATCGCCCAGGCCAGCTTCCACCTGGACCCCTCACATGGGATCCGGCAGGGCCCTGGGCTTCCTGCCCAGGTCCCCTCCCTGCAGGGAAAGCCGTTCAGCTGATCCTGGGAAGCAGACAGAGCTTTGAGAGAAATGTTCATGGCAGCCTTGCTTATAAAGGCAAAAAGCTGCCAGGGTTGGGGGCACACACTTGTCGTCCTAGCCACCATGGAGGCTGAGGCAGGAGGACCACTTAGTAAGACTGTCTCAGAACAAAAATCAGAAAGGGCTGGGGATATAACTAAGTGTGAAGGCCCTGGGTCCCACCCCCAGTACTACAGAAAACAAAACACCCAGGCCTGGGCTTTCCACAGAGGGGCTGGGAGTCCTAGAAAGACAGGCCTGTCCCTGCCAAAGCAATGTGACAAGGAAAAGAAAGAAAAGATGACAGGAAGAGCAGGGAAGTGGGAGACAGCCACGTGCTTCTGCCGCCCAGGGGCGCAGGAGGTGACGTCCGCCTGTCCCCCAGACAGACCCGGAGAACACAGACTACACCATGGAGCACGGGGCCACTCGGAACTTCCAGGCGGAGAAGCTCCTGGAGGAGGAGGAGAAGCGGGTGCAGAAGGAGAGGGAGGACGAGGAGCTGAACAACCCCATGAAGGTGATCGCAGGGTGGACGCGCTCGAGCTGGGCAGTGTGGGGAGCAGGGCTCTGAGAGACACACGCCCTGCATGGCACCTAGAGGGTGCTGAGGAGAGGTTCTTCTGTGTGACCGGGTGTCTCTCATCCTGTCTTAGGGTCTTATGCAGGGTCAGGGAGTTTCTCTGAAGGAGCAAAGTCAGGGAGGTGTGGTGGGTCACAGGCTGGGAACAACAGCCCCTGGTCAGAAGCCAGAAAAAGTGAGTGCACTGGGTACAAAGGTGCACGCCTGTCATCCCAGCACTCTGGGAGGCTGAGGCAGGATTGCAAATTCAAGCCCTGCCTGGGGAACTCAGCAAGACGCTGTCAAAAAATAAAAAATTAAAGGCCAGGATTTAGCTCAGTGGTTCCTGCGCCTGCTTTGCAAGTGCAAGGTCCCAAGTTCAATCCCTGGCACCAAAAGAAAAAAAAGAAAAAGAAAAACAAAATAAAAAGTGTTGGGGCATGGCTCAGAGGTGACTGCTTACCTTGCATGTATGAGGCCCTGGGTTCCATTGTCAGCCTCCTCACACGCGCACACACAAAAGTGTAAGCAGATTTGGGGTCCTTCCTTGCCCTTGGCTTCAAATCCCAGGCCTTCACTGTAACCTCCACAGTCATGTCCCCGCCCCAGCTGAAATGTCCCCAAGGGCAGGCCGAGTGGGCTCTAGCCTGCACCCACCCCACTCACAGGTGCTGGAGAACCGCACAAAGGACTCAAAGCTGGAGATGGAGGTGTTGGAGAACCTGCAGGAGCTCAAGGACCTGAACCAGCGGCAGGCACATGTGGACTTCGAGGCCATGCTTCGGCAGCACCGGCTGTCAGAAGAGGAGCTGCAGCAGCGGCAGCAGGAGGAAGACGAGCAGGAGACTGCGTGAGTGCAGGGCCTCCGCCGGGCTGCTTTTTGCTCTGTCCCTCTGTCCCTGTGTCCCTCTGCCCCATCTCCTTGCAGATCTGCCCACAGCTCCTCTGGGGTCACCTGTTCTTTTTTTGTGTGTGTGTGGGGGGGTTTTGGTACTGGGGATCAAACTCCGGTCCTTGCCCTTGCGCAGCAGGCATCGAAACCACTAAGCTAAATCCCTGGCCCTGGGGTCACCTGTTCTGCACCCCCATCTCACTGTCTCCCCTATGGTGTCTGTGTCGGGGTCCCCGGGGTAACTCCAGATGCTAGGATCCCTGAGCACCCCAGGACTCAGCACATGGCTGCCTGTCCTTGTGGCTGGTTTTCGGTTTTTGTTTTAATTTTTCAGTACTAGGAATTGAACCCAGGACCTTTACACTTAGCTACATTGTCAACCCTTTATTATTTTTCATTTTGAGGCAGGGTTTTGCTAAGTTGCTAAATTGCCCAGGCTGGACTCAAGCTTGTGCCTCTCCCAGAGAGCTGGGATGACAGGCATGCACCCCCATACCTGGCTTCTTGTTGTTTTCAGGGAGCTGGGCATGGAACCCAGAGCCTGGTGCATGCTAGGCAGGCACTAAGCACTGAGCTATACCCCAGTGGTTTGTAGAGTGACAGGACACAGCAGAGCAGGACACCTGGACGGGCAGTGGAGTGGGGGAGATGGGTGGGGCATCCAGAACCCTCCCCTCGGGGCCATGCAGGGTGTGCTTCATTGTCCCCTTCAGACCCTGCACGGTTTCTCCTGTGTCCCCAGCACCTGGTACAGGGTCAGTACGCAGTAGGGGCTCAGTAGCCTCAGTGTCACTGTGACTGATAAAAGCAGCCTGCACTTCTGCGGCACCTTGTGTATGCTGGGCCCGGCTCTGACTCCTTCCTCTTCTAACACCCTGGAGGTTGGCATGGTTGGCACCAGGGTCCAGGGACTGAGGTCACGTTGAACGATACACACCCAACCCACGGTCACCCAGACAGGGTGGGAATCCAGATAGGCTGCTCAAGCATCCCTAACCACTCCACAGTCCCCAGGAAACACAGGAAAGTTGCTTCTGTTTTGTTTTGTTTTTAATGAGGCAGGATCTCACTGTGTAGTGCAGGCTGGCCTTGAACTCACTGTGTAGCCCAGGCTGGCCCTGAACTCCTGTCAATCCTCCTGTCTCAGCCTTCCAAGTGCTCGGATTACAGGCATGTGCCACCACATCCAGCAGGAAGGTTAATTTTTTTTTTTTTTTTTTTGGTACAGGGGATCAAACTCGGGTCCTTGCGCTTGAGGAAGGTTAATTTAATTTAATTTTATTAATTTTTTTTTGGTACCAGGGATCGAACTCGGGTCCTTGAGCTTGCGCAGCAGCAGGCGTTGAAACCACTAAGCTAAATCCCCGGCCCAAGGAAGGTTAATTTTAAACATCTAATCAGGCCTATCATCCCAGCACTGTGGGAGGCCGAGGCAGGAGGATCACAAGTCCATCCCAGCCTGGGCAACTTAGTGACTTAGTGAGACCTTATCTCAAAATTTTAAAAAGGGCTGGGAATGGATCTCAGTGCAGAGGCTGTGGGTTCAGTCCCCAGAACTGTAAAATTCAAAATCTGCTCCCCACCCCTGCTGTCTGAGGGCAGCACAGGGCCTCTTGGCAGGGTCCTGGGCACTGTCCCTATGCAGAGTGTGTCCCCAGCCCCGAGGTCTGTCACACAGGGCACTCCTGGAGGAGGCTCGGAAGCAAAGGCTCCTGGAGGACTCAGACTCAGAGGACGAGGCTGCACCTGCCCCGCCAGCCCTGTGGCCCCAGCCCACAGCCATCCTGCATGAGGTCAGCTGCCTTTGGGGCCCTGTGCCCAGGGGGGTGGGGAAGCAGTGGCCACAGCCTCTTCCTTGCAGGGCCCAGGGCTCTGCCCTTGGATGAATGTGAAGGACAGTGGAGCAGGTGCCAGTAAGCCCTTGGGCACTGTCACTTTCCAGCCTGGTGAAGCGGCTGTGGAAGGGGACATATGTTACCGGCTAGTGTGGGTCCTTGGTATAATGACCATAGAAATTAAAACTAGAGCTGGGTGTGTGGCTCATGCCTTTCATCCCTGCACTGGGGAGACTGAGGCAGGAGGATCACTGTGAGTTCAAGGCCAGCCTAGACCACATAGAGGGACCCTGTTTCACAAAAAAACCTAAAATACAGATTACAAAAAAATTTTAATTGGAAAGTAAGAATGAAGACAGGGAAAGACTGCAGCCCAAGCAGCAGCAGGGGCGAATTCTAGTGTGGGGATTCCCACCAGCCCCCACCTTGAAGCAGGAGTCTGCCTGCAAAGATTGGCCAAGCCAGAGTCTGGCTGATCTTTTCATCAGTCCCGGTCTCTCTGCTCACGTTGAGTTCTGAGACTTGGAGGCCACCTGGTCCGCATGGGAGGGAGCTTGCGGGCTGTCCCAGGCCTGTGAGCTCTGCTGCAATCCAGGGTGACCATAGGTTTGGGAGTAGTTGAAAGTCCCTGTAAGTTGTAAATCTTTTGTTTTTTCTTTCCCTCGCAGTGCTGGGGATGGAACCCATGGCCTTCGCACTGAGCTCCAGCCCCAGCCCTTTTTATTTTTTTATTTTGAGACAAGGTTTCACTAAGTCATTAAGTTGCCTGGGCTGGGCTCGAACTTGCAATCCTCCTGCCTCAGCCTTCCAGAGCACTGTGCTGACAGGCGTGCAGGAAAAGTCACTTCACATCCCTGACTGCCTGAGAAGAAAGGGCAGATTTTTTGCAAGTAAGAGGCTACAGGACCCAGGAGTTTGTTCTCTGTCCCTACAATGGTGTCTCATGACTTTGACATGGGGCACATGAGAGTTTGTGTCTCTGTCCCATTGCAGGCCTGGGTGACAATGCAGGATCTAGGGCAGCTCTGCCCTAGTCCTGGCCCCTCCATGTCCCAAAGTCAGCCCTGCTCTGTGGGCTGCAGCACTGTGGGTGCTGGGGCACTGGGGAGGAGTGGTGCAGGGTGGTCCAGCCAGTCAGCGGAACAGGCCCACGAGGCTGCATGCAGCTGGCCCGGGCCTGACTGGAAGAAAGTAGGGGAGAGGGATTTTGCTGGATACCCAGGTCTAGGTCCTAAGTGATAATGCTACTTTCAATTGGATAGAAAGTTTTTTCTCAGATCACAGTTGTGCAGAGTGATCAGACAGGAAACAGACACTGTTATGTCCTCCACATTGGAGACTGCTGTTCTCCCACAAGTTTCAATATATTCTGCATCCCAGACCTGGAGAGGGGCAGGGGCAGGGACAGGGAGGAAGTGTACTAGGCACTGCTGCCTGGAGGGCATCCTGCTCACATCCCATTGGTCAGCATATGACCACCTGACCACTACCCACCACAAAGGAGGCTGGGAAGTGTAGTCTTTGGGGGGTGTTTTGGGTTTTTGTTTTTGGTACTGGAGACTGAACTCAGGACCTTGCGCTTGCAAGGCAGGCGCCAGAACCACTGAGCTAAATCCCAGACCCAGGGAAGTGTAGTCTTTATTGGCAACGGCCTCGTTCTTGGGAGAATCCATCAGGTCAGGAAATAGATTGGACATGAACTCATGTACTGTTAATCTTTTCGTGTAGAACTGAGACTTAACAAGAAAGACATTTTCCTTGAGGCTGTATTTCCTGATTAGAGTGCTCTCACTGACTTTCTTACTTAAACTCCCCCCAGAATTCATTGGCTACAATTTCTCTGTCTGTCTGTCTTTCTCTTTTTTTTCCTCTCTGGTTCTGGGAATTAAACTCAGGGCCTTGCACATGCTAGGCAGGCACCTCACCACTGAACATTGTCCCCAGGCCTTTTCATTTATTATTTTGAGACAGCTTCTTGCTAAACTACCCAAGCTTGTCTCAAATTCAAGGTCCTCCTGCCTCAGGTTCCCAAATGTCTGGGATGACAGGTGTGTGCCACTACACCTGATGTTTTTATTTTGGAGGGGGGTGGCAGGGGATAGTACCCAGAACCTTGTGCATACCAAGCAAGTGCTCATCACTGAGCTACATGTCCACCCCTTCTATTTTTCACTTCTTTTCTAAGTGGAGCAAGAGATGAAGTTACCTTCAGAGGAATCTGCCCTTACCGTTCCTCCCCAGCCTCCCACCTGGTCCTGACTCTGTGGCAGATCCTGATTGGCTGTGTACACAGCACACTCCTCTCAAGGCTCTTCACACCTGTGCTGCCACTTTTATAGCAAGCCCTGGGTATCTCTCTCCACACCTGCAATTCCTTGGTTTAGCTTCATGATGATGAATATGTGCAGCAGAAGCAGGTTTGGGAACCAACATGTGATCCCTGCCACTCAGCTGCAGCAGGAATGTGTGACAGTGTTTGCAGAGGGTCAAGAATGGCACAGCCCCCATCATTCCAGCTATTCAGGAGGCTGAAGCAGGAGGATCTCAAAAAGAAACAGCAGTTCATTTCTGCACCAGCTGGATAAAAATGCTGCAGCCAGGTCTTGGGGTGCAGCTTGGGGGAGTTATTTTTCTAGCCTACATGAGGCCTGCTATCCCATCCCTAGCCCTGGAAAAAAAAGTACAACATTTGCTTTCATTGCTGCCCCTCCCCATCCTGCTGTTATTTTATTTTGAGACAGAGTGTTGCTTAAACTCAAGATCCTCCTGCCTCAGCCTCTGCATTAGCTGGCATTACAGGCATGTGCCACCCACATAGGGCTTTCAGTTACCTCTTTAATGGCGGCTTTTCGAGACACTGCCATCAGAAGTCCCATCCCCTCTGGCCTTACTGCCTGAGCTTCACAGAGGAGGGGATCCACGAGTTCGGCATTGAAAGATGAGTAGGAGTTTGCAGGTGAATGAGAGGAAGGGGGACATCCCAGGAGAAGGGGACAAGAGGTAAAGGCCTGCAAGTGAGAAGTCACAGGGGGACTCGGAATGGGCAAGTCCTATGTATGGGGTGAAGGGCAGGCAAAGGCCCTGAGCAACAGGCCTGGGGCAGTAGGCAGACACAGAGGAGTTTAGAGAAGGGGAGAGACTGGCGAGCTCAGAGTGCTGGGGAATGGTTCAGTAGGGGCTGGAGCAGAGTTCAGAGGGCTGGCTGGGCCTGGGACCCTGCACCAACTCGTGTCCCTGTTGCCCTACAGGCCCCAAAGGCCAAGAGGAAGATGGACGGCATGGGCGGCAGGTCACAGCTCTCTGGCCTGGTGGTGGTGAAGAAGACAAGGACAGAAGCAGAGTGTGCCGGCACCCATAGGGGCCAGGCTCCTCTGGCATCATCAGGTCAGTTCCCGGGTCAGAGCTGTGTGCAGTGCTACCTATGGCCACTAGGCGGTAGTGTTCCCTGCCTCCTAGGGCTCCCGGGGCCTGCGGGATGTGGGGGAGGGTGACCCCCAGGCAGTTCTGCAGCCCCCCTCCTCCTCTTCTTTTTTTCCTTTGTGGTACTGGGGATGGAACCCAGGGCCTCGCACTGAGCGACATCCCAGACATTTTTAGTTTTTATTTTGAGATGGGCTTACTAAGTTGCCAGGCTGACCTAGAATTCATAGTTTGCCTCCCTCAGTCTCCCATAGTGCCGGGATTACAGGTATAAGCCACCACTTTTTTTCTCTCTCATTTAATTACAAAAGGAACAAGAATTTCAAAGCACAGGTAAACCCACAACATCTCCTCCCCATCTCCCCGTGTCAAGGGAATCCGAGTCTCCCAAGTCCCAGCCATGTCCTGGTGTCTGTCTCGGGACCCTGTACCTGGTCCACCACTGGCAGCCCCCACCCCAGGAGCTGGGCAATTAGGTGGAGAGCCTGGTGGGTGGAGAGCTCAGGTTCCTGTCCAGCAGTACACCCGCCTACAGGATGGGTTGCCCATGGGGCAGTTCCACAGGGGAGTGGCCATGTCAGAGGGTACGTGAGTGGGATGCGATGCCGCACACCTGCAATCCCAGCACTCTGGGAGGCTGAGGCAGGAGGATTGCAAGTCAGAGCCCAGCCTGGGCAACTTAGCAACTTAGCAAGACCTTGCCTCAAAATAAAAATAAAGGGCCGGGGATTTACCTCAGTGGTTCTGCTGCCTGCCTCTCAAGCGCAAGGTCCCAAGTTTGATCCCTGGTACCAAAAAAAATAAAAATAAAAATAAAAAGGGTTGGGACGTAACTCAGCACAGAGGCCCTGGGTTCCATCCCCAATACAAGGAAAAAAGTTCTTGCAAAGGGTGTGTGGCTTAAGGCTTACACCCCCAATGGGCCCTGCGAGGGGCCTTCCAGACAGGCAGCCCCATGGTGTCCTCCCCAGGCTGGCACACGAGCAGAGGTGGCTGTCCTCGTACCCCAGCCATCCTGGGCCACTCCTCCTTCTCCCCTTAGGAGCCCCAGAGAGCAGAGGGGCTGTTGACCCCCCCTCCCTGCCACCTGGTACCTCCTCCCTGAGCCAGCTGGGAGCCTATGGGGACAGCGAGGACAGTGACAACAGCGTCTGACCCCCACCACCCACCCCAGCCACGGGCATCATGGAGCGGCAAGTGATTGGTCAGGAGGCCCCGCCATCTCCCACAGCTACCATGGACTCAGCATCCCTCCTGTCTCCGGCTCCTCCTGCCCTTGTGTCATGGGCTGTGCCACCCTGCCCTGTCCCCAGGTCACCTCCATCCCTTCCACCCACAGAGCCATCTGGAAGCAATAAAAGGCGCTGTCTGTGGGCCAGGTGGCTGCTCCTCAGAGTGCAGGGCCAGCAAAGCCTCTGCACAGGACCCCTGGGTGGAGGCTCGTGTGGCGCTGGGTGAGGGGCTGGGTCGGGGCCACAGAGCAGCCTATTAGTGCACAAGCTCAGCCACTGCATTCGCCTGACTCCCAACAATGTAATGGAGTGGCTGAGCCCTGGGCCTTCACAGAGAAAAGAGGTCACCCGGCGCCCAGCTCTGCAGGCCCCATCATGGCTCCAGTGTCATGGTGGGAGTATGGGCAGGAGGCCAGGTAGGCAGAGGCCAGGCCTGCGTTCTCCTTTGTTGGTTTCTTAATGGTATTGGGGATTGAACTCCGGGCCTTTACACTAAGCTACATCTCCAGCCTTTTTTTTTTGGTACCGGGGATTGAACTTGGGACCTTGCGCTTGAGAGGCAGGTGGCGGAACCACTGAGGTAAATCCCCGGCCCTTTATTTTTATTTTGAGGCAAGGTCTTGCTAAGTTGCCCAGGCTAGGCTCAACTTGTGATCCTCCTGCCTCAGCCTCCCAGAGTGCTGAGATGACAGGCATGTGCCGCCATACGCAACTGGAATTTTTATGTTTAATTCTTGTTTTTCCTAGGGATTTGCTCTCTCAACATGTGTCCTTAGAGCAGCTTTGTCCTTGGCCCCCCCGGACCCCTTGTAGGGGCTCCTGGCAGTGAGCCGGTAGAAGGACAGGCTGGGTCTGTGGTTTGTGCCCCAGCTCCCCGGCCCCTCCTGGCATCCCCCCCCTTCCATGCTGACAGTGCCCGCAGTGCCAGATAAAGGAGCTGTCTTCTTGGAGCTGTCAGGCTGAATCCAGAATCTCCTCCATCAGCTCCCCTGGGGGCTCAGGCTCTGAGCACATCAGAGGGCTGGGGGTGGGGGACACTGGAGCCACTCGGCCACCCACTCCTGCCCGCAGGACTCAGAAGGAGAGGATCCACCTGCCTTGTGCCTGGCACAGCTCCAGCCTGTCCCCACCACCGACTCAGCAGCTGTTACGGCCCCCAACAGGAACCCCTCTGGCCGGGGCTGGCCCGTTTGGCTCAGGCCGCAGCCTTCAGCGCCCTGCCCCACTGCACCACCTGTCCGGTCAGATGGGCCCTCGAAGGTTGCACTATGCACCCCCCCAGCAGATGGACATCTAAGGGAAGCTCGTGCCTCCTCCATCAGAGTGGCACCCAGAAGCTAGGCCTCGTCTTCTCGTTAGATGCAAGCCCAGGGTTAACGTGTGTATTTCTTCCCTTAGGCCAGGGCCTTCAAAGGACAGAATCATGCCTCTCCCATCAGACTGGGGGCTCCTTAACCATCATTTAAGACTCATGGTTGTGAATTGACAAAGGCAGACCGGGCCAGGGGTGGTGTCATCCCAGTCACTTGGGAGGCTGAGGCAGGCAGACCCCAAGTTTGAGCTCAGCCTGGCCACCTCAGAAATACCCTGTGTCAAACAAAGTAAGCAAAAAGGGCTGGGGGGTAGCTCAGTGGTGAGCACCTGTCGAGCAGAGGTTCATCCCCAGTGCTGCAAAAAGAAAAAAGTAGGACTGGGGATTTAACTTAGTGGTTCCAGCACCTGCCTCGCAAGTGCAAAGTCCCAAGTTTGATCCCTGGCATCAAAAAAAAACAAAAAAACAAAAGAGGCTATGTGCAGGAGCTCTTAAGGTAGGGCCACCCGCACACCACCCATCAGATTAGGACTTTTTCTTTGTTTGTTTTGGGGTGTTTTTGCAGTACCAGGGGTTGAACTCAGGACCTTGTGCTTTCAAGGCAGGTGCAGTGCCACTGAGCTAAATCTCTGGCCCGTTTTATTTTGTTTTTTGAGACAAGAGTCTCACTATGTAGCCTAGGATGGCCTGGAATTCACAGCAATCCTGCCTCAGCGTCATGAGTGTTGGGGTTACAGGTGTGTGCCGCCATGTCTGGCCTGGATTAGGAGATTTTAAGCCCCACCAGGGACCACACCATCTTTCCCTACCTTGTTCCTCCCGTCCTGGCCCCACAGCTCCCATCCCCCTTTCAGATTTGGGGCCCCAGGGGTTCTGCTTCAGAAGACAGGGCACAGGGGACAGAAAGAACAGATGTAGCCCCAACAGAGAAGCCCCTCTCTGGCTCCTTTCTGAGTCCTCATCCAGCCTAAGTATACGTTGAGCACCTACTGTGGGCCGCACACCTGAGTGTCCCTCAGCCAGGGGAGCAGTGCAGCTGTGACACCACATGGACGGGCCTTGAGCGTGATGCTCAGTGCGAGACACCAGACAGGGGACATAGTGTGGGCTCCATGGATGGGAAACGCCCAGGACAGGTGACTCCAGTGGACTGGATGGAGGGTGCCAGAGGCTGGGAGGGGACGAGTGACTGCTAATCAGATAGGAGGTTTCTTTTGGGGATGATAGGAATGTTTTGGAACCAGATAGTGGTGCTGATTACACAGCCTTGTGAATATATTACAAAGCCGTGAATCATTCTGTGTATGTGTGTGGTGGCTAGGGTGGAACTTGGGCCTCAAGTATGCTAGGAAAGCCCTCACCACTGAGCCCTACCTCCAGTCCATTATATAAAGGGGTCCCAGGTGTGGCTGTGCACACTTGCCTTTCCAGCACTCAGGAGGCTGAGGCAGGAGGATCACCAAGAGTTCAAAGCAAGCCTTGGCTACATAGTTCAGGGTAGCCTTCTCAAAAAAAGAAAAGGCCCTGGGTTCAATCCCTAGTACTGGAAAAAAGTGGAGTATGAACTCTAGGGTATAGGAAATTTATTTATTTATTTATTTATTTATTTATTTATTTATTTAGATACCTGGGATCGAACTCAGGACCTTGTGCTTTCGAGGCAGGCAGCAGCACCACTGAGCTAAATCCCCGGTCCAGGAATTATATTTCAGATTTTTTTATGTATATTTTTTGGTACTGGGCTTCAAACTCGGGTCCTTGAGCTTGTGAGGCAGGGGCGGGAGCCACTGAGCTTAATTCCCGGCAGGAATTATATTTCAAGAAGCAAAACAACCCCCAAAAGCGAGGCGGGCAGCTAGCGCTCCCCAGACTACAGCTCCTATTCTGTTTTCCGGGGAGAATATAGCCCTGGGTCATCCCAAGGTCGAGGGGGCTGGTATTAGGAACCTGAGCGCTGGGGAACCGGGTTCCCAGGAAGCGGAGCACCACCCAGACCCCCCAGCCTGGCCCTCCCCTCAGGGTGGGAGAGCCCTGAGAAGGCGGCCCAAAGGCCCTGGGAAGTCAAACGCCGTTTGATTCTGCCTGGGGGCCCCTAATTGTTATTCCTGCCACAGCGTGTAATTAGAAGGCCCCTTTCAAATATTTATACCTCGGCGGCGGCGGCGGTGTATTTAGCCGACTGAGACAGCGCTCGGATTTGACGGGATCTGTCAGCAGCTCATCCCGAGCTGGGAATTGCCTCGAGACTGACAGAAAACAGGACAATTACCCGCCTGCTCCCTGGCCGTCCCTGGGGACCCCACCTTGCCGCGGATCCGAGGATGGGAGTCGGCGGGAACGGAGCCTGCGAGGGAGCCGAGTTCAACATGTCCGAGTTGGGGACACAGCCAGTGCGGACAGGCTGGGCGACAGGAGTGTGCAGAGGCCCTGCTGTCATCGGGGCCTTTGTCCTGTCGGCTCTGGGCTTCACTCTCCCCGCCTGGAAAGTGGGGCTAGTGGAGGAGGGGAGCGGCAGAACTTCGGTTTCCACGAAAGAGACTCGAGCGCACGCCATGCGGCAGCCAGTTCCCGTGACAGTGTCCAGGCACCAGTGAGCCTCTGGATGACCGAATAAGGCCCCTCCACTCTTCGCCTCAGTTTCTTCATCTGTGGAATGAAGAACCTGTGTAATAATTCATTTGTTTTGGGCACCCTTCCTCCAGCTTCCCGGGTTCTGGAAGAAGCTCCACTGGTCTGTTCTGTTTTAAGGCAGGGTCTCTCTGCATAGCCCAGGCTGGCTTCAAACTCACAGCAATTCTCCTCTCAGCCTCCCTAGTGAGCCCCCAAGCTCAGCCTTATATGTCTTCTGAAGGGAAACCAAGGGAGAGGAAGCTGCAGACGGCGCCCCAGGGCACCTATCCTGCAGGAGGACAGCTCACAGCCCTGACTTCTGCCTGCCACGTGCACCCCTCCAAGCTGCACTCCTGCGCGAGCCAGGAGCAGGGAACTCGGGGTCCCCCACCCTTCTGAGCCCCACTCTCATTAAGGGGACTTTAGCAAGGTCCCTTTGGGGAAAGAAAAGGTGATTTTGCTCTTGAATTGGCCACTGCCCCCCATCCCCAACTCTTTCAGTCCCTTGACCCCAGACAGCTGTGGTGGTGAAAAACAGCCAGACGTGAGACCCTTCTCCCTCCTCTCCCCACCCGAAAGCCACAAAAGGACAGATGCGAGACCACCAGGTGGCACCGATAGCATCTCCCCCACCGGCCAGCTGCCCCAGCCCTCCCGCGCCCCGCGAGGAGCCCCCTGGGGGGCCACATCCGAGTCCCCCGCCACCTCCTGCTGTGCCTCGAGTCCCTCCACAGCAACCGCAGCCAGTGACCTCTCACATCTGCCGAAGATCGCGTCTCCTGGCCAGGTCCTCGACCCTCAGACGTTGGCTCAATTTCAATCCTCTGTCGCAGTCTTCTGGACAATGTCACCCCTTCTCGCTGTCAGGTCCATGCCCCCATTTCCACTTCCACCCCTGCTCCGCACTCCCCCCTCGCGACCCCAGGAGGCGCCAGCCCCGGGCCGTGCCCACCTCCTGCCTTCACCTCGCTCCGCCCAAGCTCGGTCCTGGGGTCGGGGTCCAGTTGTCGCCGCCTCGGCCCCACGACTCCCTCGCCCCGATCCCCGCTCCCCGCCCTCCCGGAACAGCTGAAGGTCTCCGTCACCTCCGAGGGGGCGCAGGGAAGGGCAGGGGCGGGGAAGCCTTGACGCCGCGGCTGGGACCTGGCCGGGCTGGCGGGGACTGGGCCACCCGCCCGCGCGCCCCCTCCTCAAATTCCCCCCTCCCCTCCCGGCGGCGCGCGCCGGCAAAGTCTCCCGAAAGCCGGAGCGCGGATTGCAGGAGATTTTATTTCCCTTTGTGCGGGTGCCTGGGGCCGGATCGAGCCAGCTGACTGAGGGGACCTTGGGATGAGGGCGCCCCCCAACCCCCTAGGACACGGAGGCGTGCAACAAAGGAGGCGCCCTGCCCGGGTCCCCGTCCCCAACGCGCAACTTTGCATGCGCCCCGGGGGAACCGGCGAACCACGCTGAGAGCCCAGGCATCCCGCGCTGACTGGGGCGGCGGTGGGGGGGCTGGGGACGGCGACCTCGGACCAGCCAGGGACTCCCGGGCTTCCGGGAGGCGGCGGGAGGCCCAGCTGGGCACCCTGCCCGCGCTGCCCGCGCAAATTCCGCGCTTCCGCGGATGCCCTTCGTCCTGCCCGGACCACCGTGCGCTCGGCGTTCAGGGCCCCGCGGGGCACCGCTGTCCCCTGAGCTTCTTCCGGAGCCGGGCTAAGGTGGGCTTCTCCCTCTCCCGCTTTCTCTGTAGCTTTACACCTCCTCTCCCTACCATCCGCATCCATCCTGAGCCCAACCGAGGGGCACACCTGATCCTGCGGCTCCCGCTCCTCCTCCTGCTCCTCCCTCCCCCAGGGCCGGAGCCCAAGCAGGGCATGTGGGTCCCCCTCTGACAGTGCCCAGGGGTGAGGCGACCCTCGCCCAGATGGCCAAGTGGCTTCGGGACTACCTGAGCTTTGGCGGCCGGAGACCCCCTCCGCAGCCGCCCACCCCCGACTACTCGGAGAGCGACATCCTGCTGGCCTACCGCACGCAGAAGAATCTGGACTTCGAGGACCCCTACGAGGACGCGGACAGCCGCCCCGAGCCAGACCCCGCGGCCCCCCCAGACTCGAAGAGTCCCGGCGACTCCAAGTACGACTCCCCCAGGCACCGGCTCATCAAGGTGGAGGCGGTCGACATGGCCCGCGCCAAGGCCCTGCTGGGCAGCCCCGGGGACGGGGACGAGGTGCGAGGGTGGACGCGGGGACGGGCGGAGCGCGGCCCAGACCGCAGGGGGCTGCTTTTACGCTGGTCCCAGGGGCCGGCACCAGGCGCTGCCCTTTCCTCCACCTGCTGGGGGAGTTTGGTATCTGCCTCTTTTCTCTTGCCTTTGCCCTGGCTCCCCCCACCCGCACACACACACATAGTGAGAGTGGAACAACCCAGGGCCTTCACCCTGAGCTCCATCCCCAGCCCTGTTTTGTTTTGTTGAGACAGAGTCTCACTATGTAGTTCAGGCTGACCTTGAACATGCCATGTACCCAAGACTGGACTCCAACTGGAGACAATCCTCCTGCCTCAGCTTCCTGAATGCTGGGATTACTATTTTTATTATCATTATTTTTTTTTTTTTGCTAGCGGAGATCGAACTCAGGACCTTGCTCTTTTGAGGCAGGCGGTGGAACCACTGAGCTAAATCCCCGGCCCTATCATTAATTTTGATTATCATTATTATTTTGAGACAAGGTTTCCCTAAGTTGCTCAGGCTGGGGTCAAACTTGAGATTCTCCTGCCTCAGTCTCCAGGGTGCTGGGATGAAAGGTGTGCGCCACCTCTCCCAACTACTTCCTGGGCATTAAACATTCTTTCCCTTCTTCCTGTTATGATTCCCATTTACAGGAAGTGGAAACTGAGGCCCCAGGAGAGCGGTGACTTCCCCAAGGCCACAGAGCTTCCACCCCCAACCCCACACTTCTCTCAGCGTGGTTTGAAGGTTGAGGCTCCAGCTGTCAAGTCTCAGCTGAAGTCACTTCCTGAGGCCTTGAGGGCAGTGACCAGGGTGGGGGTGTGTCATGATTTAGAGCTCAAGGGAGAGAAGAGGAGGCAGGGATTTGGGGGACCCTGACAGTCACCTGCTCTTTGACCCTGGGCTAGTCACTTACCCTCTCTGTCCTTTGGTTTCCTCACCTGTAAAGCAGGGATTGTGTATTGACTGAAGGTTGATATTACCCATAAGTAGACATTAAGTATTTAGAACAGTGTTGGCACCTGGTAGTTTTTATGTTGGTACCAGGGCTCGAACTCAGCACCTTGCATTTGCCAGGCATGGTGCCACTGAGCTACATCCCAGCCCTTGTTTGTTTGTTTTTTTGTTTGTTTTGGTATGGGGGATCGAACTCAGGACCTTGCACTTTCGGAGCAGGCAATGGAACCACTGAGCTGAATTCCTGGCCCCCTTGTTTGTTTTTTGAGACAGGATCTCTCTAGGTAGCTCAGGGTGGACTTGAACTAGACTTGAACTAGAAATCCTCCTGCCTCAGCCTCCCAAGTGCAGGAATCATAAGCCTTTGCCACCAATGCATGGCTCGAATTTTTTTCAGAGAAGGTCTCTCTATGTAGTTCAGGCTGGACTTGAATTTGCTATGTAAACTAGGTTGGCCTCAAACTTGTGATCCTCCTGCCTCAGTTTTCTGAGTGCTAGGATTATAGCCATGTGCCACCACATCCAGCTTTATTTATTTATTTTTTAGAAAGGTTCTTACACTGTAATTTAGATTGGCCTTGAACTCACTATGTGTACCCCAGGCTGGCCTCAAGTTTGCAGTGATCTTCCTGCCTCAGCCTCCAGGGATTATAGGTGTGTGCCACCATACTAGGCATTATGTTTTGTTTTTTCCGGGGCACTGGGGTATCAATCTCAGGGCCTTGTGCTTGTGAGGTAAGAGGGGCACCACTGAACTAAATCCCCGGCCATATGCTTATTTATTTTTTTTGGTACCGGGGATCAAACGCCAGTCCTTCCACTTTTGGGGGAGGTGCCGGAACCACTGAGCTAAATCCCCAGCCCAGCTCAACATGTTTTGTTTTTTGAGACAGGGTCTCACTATGTAGCCCAGGCTGGCCTGGAATTCACAGCAATCCTTCTGCCTCAGCCTCCGGATAGCTGGCTCAGTTTTTTTTTTTTTCAATAACAGGCCAATCCCTTGCACTACAGTCAGGCTTAGTGCCACCAAGCTACATCCCTGGCCCGGCATGAGTGCTCGCCTAGCGTTTGTGAGACCCTATATTCTATTCCTGCATCGGGGGGATAAAAAGGTCCAGAGTGGACAGGGAGTGGTGGCCTCCCCCAGCCAGCACATGGACCCTAGATCCCAGGCCCGTCTTTTCCCCTGAGCCCCTGCCCTCTCCAAACAATTCTCTTCCCAGCTGGAAGTGGACACTGAGTATTCGGACCCATTTGATGCGCAGCCTCAACCACCACCGTCGGACGATGGCTATGTGGAGCCCTATGATGCGCAGTGGACCATCAGTGGTGAGTGATGAGGCCAGGGACAGGTAATGAGGTCCCCAGGATGGGAGCTGATTGGTGTCCTTGCTTCCCAGAGCTGCCCTGCAAGGCAGTCCAGCTGTATGATACTCCCTATGAAGAGCAGGACCAGGAGCCTGAGGAGAATGGAACTCCTTCTGAGCAGAGGCTGCAGCAGAGCCGGCTGCCCCTGGAGGATGAGCGGCCAGCAGATGAGTATGACCAGCCCTGGGAGTGGAAGAAAGACCACATCTCCAGAGCTTTTGCAGGTACCTGTTTGACCCAAGGCTTCTTTGACCTCTGAATATTCCATCCTTCCATTTCCTCCTTGGGTCATGTCCTCTATTTCAATTTACAGTGTAGAACCCAAACATCTACCACTTTGGTATTGTTAATTCTCACTAAAATCTGAGCGACTGATAATCATAAATTCTTCCTTCCAAAAGGTCTTACATCTTCCTTGGGATCTGAAGGGCTCTTAGAATGGAACTTAACTCATTCTGTTGAATGTAGTGCAGGGAGAGGAATGTGGCTTTGGTGTCACGCTAGATCTGTGACAGTTACTTGGACAAATTACTATTATTTTCCTGAATGTCCCTTCCCTTATCTGTAAAATGGAGATTACTGTGGGACCTACTGATCAGGGTACTTGTAACTTGAATGCTGGAAAGTACTCAATTATATGGGAGGTGTTGAACTGGAAGGGCAGGGTTTCTTAGCCTTGTAGACTCAGGGTCAAATTCTAGCTAAATTGAGAAACTTGGATGAGTTTCTGAACAGTTTTTCTCTTCTATAAAAGGGATAATAACTAAGATCAGCTGTAAGAAATAAAACACCTCTGAGCCAAGTGTTGTGGTGGGTGCATACCTGTTATCCCAGCACTCTGGGAGGCTTCAGCAGGAGGATCAAAAATTCTAGTCCGGGGCCGGAGATTTAGCTCAGTTGTTCTGCTGCCTGCTTCGAAAGCACAAGGACCCGAGTTCAATCCCCGGTACCAAAAAAAAAAAAAGTTCTAGTCCAGGCCCGGGGATTTAGCTCAGTAGTTCTGTCGCCTGACTCACAAGCAAAGGTCCCGAATTCGATCCCCAGTATCCCCCCCCCCCCAAAAAAGAGAAAAAGTTCTAACCCAGCCTGGGCAACTTAGCGAGACCCTATCTCACAATTAAAAAATAAGGAAAAGGGTTTGGAATGTAGGTCAGTGTGAAGACCCTGGCTCAATCGCCAGGACCACATAAATAGATGAGATAGATAGATAGATAGACAGACAGAATTAAATTACTCAGGCTCGGAACAATGGAACACAGAAATTGTACGACTGGCAGGGCATTTGGATATTAGAGCTTTGGTCTGTCTGTATATTGTCTAGTTTCATGACTTGACCCGAGTTAGGGGAGAATTCCTGAAGAGAATTCAGGACTAGAATTACTAATTCTGTAACGCTAGTGACCACACCTCTTTCTTCTGAAAGTCAATTGGTTGCTTCTGTACCAATCCTACCCTGACCTTAAAGTAAGTCCGTCCTTGTCTGGGCTCTAATAGGCTTCTTCAAATTGATACCGCCTTCCTACTGAAATTCCATTGGCTTGATCTAGCCCCGCCCCTACGAGGTAGGCTGGTCTTAACAATTTCCTCTCCCACCCTCCCCTTCCAGTGCAATTTGACAGTCCAGAGTGGGAAAGGACCTCAGGCTCTGCCAAGGAGCTGCGGAGATGCCCTCCCAGAAGCCCCCAGCCAGCTGAGCGCGTGGATCCCGCCCTGCCCCTGGAGAAACAGCCGTGAGTGGGGGAAGCTGAAGGTGGAAAGCCCCACAGGCCCACTCCAACCATTTATAGACTTCAATTTATCAGGCGGATGCTTTTCATTTTTCTACCTCAGACTATGGAAGCTGGGGAAACTTTTATTCATTCATTCTCATCATTCATAAAAAAAAACACCTGCTGTTTACCAGACTCCAGGGTAGGGGCCTGAGTCAGACAAGGTTGTTCTCGCTCTGCTATCAGGTGCTGGATTCAAATCCCTGCTCTACGTTTCTTGCTATGTGAGCTGAGGCAAAGTCACTCAACCTGTCTGAGTCAGGCTTCGAATTACCAGAGAGCACCTGGCCCAGAAAAGAATTTCCTCCCCTCACTTGAGTGGGCTTTTAAGCCTGAGAACAGAGACAGAAATATTTACCTCATCACTCCTCCCAGAAGACTCTGGGATGGAGGGGGAGGGGGAGGATCTGGGTGGTCTCCCAGCTGTGTTCCGGTGCAGCACCAAGCTGGAACCGTCTGGGACTTGTCCGTGTCCCCCAGCCTGGGAACAACCTGAGGGACTAAGTTCCAGACCCAGGACCTGTTTCAGTCACCCCAAACCTCCGCTTGGTTGGAACAAAGCCAGTTATCTAGCGCTGAGCCTCTGGAGCCAAGCACATTGTTCACGGATATTTCCCCCCGTAGTACTAGGGATTGAACCCAGGGCCTTCACACTGAGCTACTTCCCCCATCCCTTTATTTTTTATTTTGAGTCAGGGAAAACTTGTCAGTCCCATATCCAGCCTCCTCTTGAACATTCTAAGGGAAGCTGGTCATGGTGGTGCACACCTGTGATCCCAGCACTTGGGAGGCTGAGGCAGGAGGATCACAAGTTCAAACCCACCATGGAGAACTTAGTGACTTAGTGGGACCCTGCCTCAAAAGAAAAGAATTTTTAAAAGGGTGGGGATGTAGCTCAGTGGGAAGATCCCAGCATTCCCTCCTCAGAAACAGGGCAATGTAATTGTCCTTGTTCCTTTTCCTGCTGGTCTGGCCCACATAGGTTGTGTATCGAGGAGCGTGGCCCTCAGGAGACCTCTGTCCCCTCCCTCAGGTGGTTTCACGGGCCTCTGAGCCGGGCTGATGCCGAGAACCTCCTGTCGCTCTGCAAAGAAGGCAGCTACCTCGTGCGGCTCAGTGAGACCAGCCCCCAGGACTGCTCCCTGTCCCTCAGGTGAGACCCGGCCTTCCAAGGTCACACAGAACAGTGTGCTGCTCTGCTCCGGGTGCAGGGTAGGGCTGTATGTTTCTGTGCCCTCAGAGGGGCGTGGCTCCAGCAGGCAGGGGTGGGGCTTCCAGACCACGGGGTGGAACTTTAAGGACCAGGGGATAGAATTGTGGGGTGGGGCAGGGCGGGGCTTCCAGGGAGATCGGCCGAGGTTTCAAAGGAGGATGAGTTTGCTGTGGTTGGAGATAGGAAAGAAGATGGAGTGGAAGTCCTACTGGAGACACAGGCCTTGCTGACACTGGGAATGAAGATGGCCTAGGTCCCTTTGGGCTCCTTGTAGTCTAAAGGTTGAATACATTTACTGGTGTCTGTCTCAGACCAGAATCTCAGAATGACCTAGTGAGACCCTGGTTCTCCATGCCTCTCTCCTTATAATTCGAAGTGTCCAATTTTAAAATATTCTGAAGATTATACTAGATGCCTGAGTAGAAGATCTAAAAGGACAAGACTAGAAGAGGGCTTTGGAGGCAGGTTCAAATCCCCACTGTCACTTCCTGGTTGTGTGACCTTAGCTAAATTACTCAACTACTCTGAAAAGCCTCCATTTCTTTTTTAATCTGTAAGATGAGGATAATAATAGCATCAACCTCCTGGTGGTACTGCGATGATTAAATTTTTAAAAATAGATGAAGTTGGGCTGGGGATTTGGCTCAGTGATTTCGCCGCCTGCTACGCAAGCGCAAGGACCCGAGTTTGATCCCCGGTACCAAAAAAAAAAAAAATTGATGAAGTAGCTGGGCATAGTGCCCACCTGCAATCCCAGTACTCTGGAGGCTCAGGCAGGAATATTGCTGTGTGGTCAAGGCCAGCCTGGACTGTAATAGTGAGTTCAAGGCCAGCCTGGACTACATAGCAAGAACCTGTCTCAAAAAACACAAAAAAGTGAAAAAATGTTGAGAGCAGAGCTGGGCGTGGTGGTGCAAGCTTGTCATCCCAGCACTGGGAGGCTGAGGCAGGAGGATCGCCCTGAGTTCAAGGCCAGCCTGGGCTACACAGGAGAGTCCCTGTCTCAAAAAACAAAATGATTTTGAGAGCAGAGGTGCCTAGGAAACAGGGAACACTTAATTAATGTTAATTATAGTAAAATGCTGGCCAGGTTCTGGATCATTCTGCTCCCTGGGGGTGGATTATTGGTAGGACAAGGGATCTGCAGAAAGTTTGGGGAGAGAATGGCGTAAATCTAGGGGTGTTTGGAATGCACCATCATCCATCTCCTCACTGAATCTCCATTAACTGAGCACCTACTGTATTCCAGGCTCTGTGCTAGTCTGGGGCTCTGGCAGCAGCCGAGAGAGAGATCATCCCAGATCAAGATAAGGGCTAAAAGCAAAAGGAGACCCTGGGAAATCAGAGAGCAGGGCCAGGCCATCCATGAGGTCTCTAGAAGACAGTGACAGATCCCCTGAACTGGAAGAATATAAAGGGAAGGAGCTGGGCATGGTGGCGCACGCTTGTGATCCCAGTACTTGGAGGGGCTGAGGAGGGAGGATCACAAGTTCGAGGCTGTCCAGGAGAGGGACCTCAACTCAGCCTGTCTTTACTGGGGACCTCTAGGCACTGGAGGACAATGATGGGGACTGGGGGAGCTCACCGCTGCCTCTACCCCCTGTTCCCCCAGGAGCAGCCAGGGCTTCCTGCATCTGAAGTTTACACGGACTCGAGCCAACCAGGTGGTGCTGGGCCAGCACAGCGGCCCCTTCGCCAGCGTCCCCGAGCTGGTCCTTCACTACAGCGCTCGGCCCCTGCCCGTGCAGGGTGCAGAGCACCTGGTGCTGCTGTACCCCGTGGTCACGCAGAGCCCCTGCCCTGCACCCTGAGAGGGACTCTGCGGAGGGCTGGGGACAGAGGAACACCCAGACCCCTGCCCCATCCAGGCCGCCTCTGACCGAGCTAGTGCCAGGGCCTAGAACTGTGACTCCAAGTGTTGTCTCCCCCCGCCCCGCCCCCCGCCAATAAATCACTCATTGTCTTTCTCCAGCTGCTGCCCTTTCTTGGCTGTAGGGACCCTCGAATCTCGGACTCCCAGTGAGAGAGCCCGGGGACCCCCTGGCCAGCCTCTCCTCCATGTAATGTCCACCATGGATGGTCCCCAGGGCTATCCAGAGGCACCTGGTCTTGGAGGGACCAAGGTGTCACCAGGTCTTTGTTTTAGGGACAGAGCTGGGATTGGACGCTGGGTGTCACACAGCTGGGGGGTGGAGCAGAGCTGGAGGCACATTTAAAAGTCAGGATGGTAGAAAGAATGGGGAGATGGAAAGACAGAGCGGGAGAGGGCGAGGCTCCACCCCCTCCTCTGCAGCCAGGCAGCTCTAAGGCCTGATCCCGGGAAAGGACATCTGTCCCCATGGAAACCGAGGTGGGGGAGGGGAGCCGGCCCGGCTGGTGTCACTTCAAGGTAATAGTCAGGAGAAGCCTGTTTTACCCTCCTGCCTTGCTCCAGGACTGTCGGGGTGGGGGTGGGGGGCCCGCCTGGGAGGGAGAGGGGGTTCTCCAGCACCAGGCACTGCTTCCCAATTGGGAGCTTCAAGAACATGTCCCTACAAGCAGAAGGGGGACTTGTCACAGAGTCCCTCACCCCTGTGGGCCTCACTAGCCATCCTTGGGAGGGCCAGGATCCCCAAGCTCTCAAATGTTTTTTTTTTCTTTCGAGACAGGGTCTTACTATATAGCCCAGTCAGTCCTAAAACTTGTGGAGGCCCTCCTGCCTCAGGCTCCAGAGTGCTGGGATTACAGATGTGCGCCACCACACCTAGCTTCAATGTCTTTAGCACTCCCAAATGGCCACTCACTCTAACACTGCGTTCTTCAAGACCTTTTATTGACTATCCCAGAGGCAAAGGAACAACCCCATCTTCACAGGTCCCGGGAGGAGTCTGTCTGACCCCCACCTTTTCCTGGGTGCAGGTATGTATAGAACCATTGGCCCAATTTGTGTTGGAGTCTTCAGGGATCTCTGATTGCTTTTTCTGACTTCTGGGAACCCTCTTGGCCTGGGCTACCTTGAGGTGCCTGGACCAGGAGAGACCCTGACTGTAGAGATAGGGTGGTCCGGCCTAGGGCTGGGGTGAGGTTTGGGGCCCAGCTGCTGCAGGCGGGTAGAGGGCTGAGAGAATGAGGTGGAGTAGATGCCCTGGACCTTCTGTTCCTCCGTGGGAGTGTCCAGCGTCTTCCCCTCTCCAGGGCAGCCCTTGCTCCTCTTTGGGACCCCCCGGGCCCGGTACAAGACATTGATGTAGAGTGGATTTTCTGGGGGGAGGAAACATGAATTAAGAAGTGGCTGTCAGCCAGGTGTGGTGGCACCCACCTGTCATCCCAGTACCCTGGGAGACTGAGGTAGAAGGATCCCAACTTCGAGCCCAGCCTGGGCAATTTAGCAACTTAGTAAGACCCTGTCTTAAAATAAAAAGGGATGGAGATGGGACTCAGTGCAAAGGCCCTGCCTTCTATCCCTAGTACTGCAAAAGAAAAAAATAGTGACAGTCACTTAGGAGAGGCTGGCGCCCTCAGACTCGCCATGGAGGCTTCGTCCCTAGGGCTCTTTCCTCTTGGGGTGTGTGTGTGTGTGTGTGTGTGTGTGTGTGTGTGTGTTACAAAATGCGCAGGTCCCACCTCCGCCGTGTCGCAGCACACACTCACCTGAGACCTTTCGCTGGTGGCGGCAGCGACTCCAGATCACGGCGCCCAGCGTGCTGACAGCGGCCACCACCACGGCCCCAGCCCCCAGCAGCGGCCAGAGCAGTCCTTGGGGGACACGGGGTGGGTAAGGGGAGGGGCACAGAGCTTGGGGTGAGCTCAGGTGGGGACATGAGGGCGGGGCTCACCTGAGACCCTGGGGTTCAGGTTCTGGTTCTGCCGCGCGCCATCTGCAGGGAAGAAATCTGTCACCTGAGTGTCACTGCGCGACAGCTGCCCGCACCCCCAGGCTGAGAGTGCCCTGCCCTCCTGTGCCAACTCGGTGCCCTGGCTCCTGCTCGGGTGTTGGAATTCAGGCAGTTGCTCACTGGAAACCTCGGTCTCTTTCCTATCTTTTTGCGTTTATTGTGCAATACTGAAAGCTGTTTTTATTTTTATTTTTTAATTTTATTTATTTATTTATTTTGGTACCGGGGATCGAACTCGGGTCCTTGAGCTTGCAAAGCAGGCGGTGGAACCACTGAGCTAAATCCCTGGCCCTGAAAGCTGTTTTTACTTTTGTTTTTGTTTTTTTGGTACCAGGGATCGAACTCAGGACCTTGCGCTTTCGAGGCAGGCAGCGGCACCACTGAGCTACATCCCTGGCTGAAAGCTGTTTTTGTTTTTTCCAGTAGTGGGATTAAACCCAGAGCCTTCACACTGAGCTCTATCCCCAGCGCCTTTTATTTTTAATTAATTAATTTATTTTTTGGTACTGGGGATTGAACTCAGGACCCTGTGCTTTCGAGGCAGGCACGGTGCCACTGAGCTAAATCCCTGGTCTTTGATTTTTAAATTTTGAAACAATCTCCCTAAGTTGTCCAGGCTGGGCTGCAACTTGTGATCCTCCTGACTCAGCCTCCTAGAGCTCTGGGATGACAGGTGTGCCCCACCTTGCTATGCTGTCTACTAAGCACTTTAACCATAACCCTTTAAATTCACCCGATTAGGCTAGGAAAGCATGATTATCGTATCTTGACAGCTAGGGGAACAGACACAGAAAGATCAAGTTACTGGCCCAAAGTCACACAGCAAGTCAACAAACAAGAGGTCCTTGAAAAGCAGGTCTGTACAATTGGCATAATGTAACCCCCAGCCAAAGGCCCAGTGTGCTGGGACTAAAGGAGCCTCCTGCAGGCTCAGGAGTTGGCGGGTGATCTCCGGTGGCTGCCAAGCCATCGTCGTGGGGGTGGAGACGCCAGCTGTGAGAAGCTGGGCTTGTGCCCCCCTTCTCCCTCACAGCGCCCATAGAGCAGCTTCGAGCCCGGCTACCCCGCCCCTGGTAATTGCTAATTGGCCCCCTCAACGGGGGAGGGGTGGAGACCTGCGACAGTGCCACAACACACGGCCCAGGGGAGGTAGGCACGTGCCCACCAGCTGCCGGGACAGCTGGGGCTCTGCCCACGGCCTCGCCCACGGGGACTCCGCGGCGGGGGGCGGGGGGCGATCTGGCTGCGTGCTCATTGGACACCCGCTGCATCCGGTCTGTAAGGTGAGGCACCGGCCTTGACTGACCTCAGAGCTCTGCCCAGCACCCCCACACACACATCCGCCATCCGGGGGTGGAACTGCGGCCTCACACTGAGTACACCCTGAGCATGTCCTTACAGTTTTATTTTGGTACATTCTTGCCAAGTCACTGAGTTCCCCAGGCTGGGCCAGAACTTGGGATCTGCCAGCCTCAGCCTGGCAGGGTGCTGGGATCACAGGTGTGCATAACCACCCCTGGCTTCTGCCCAATTTTGAGAGTCGATGGCTTTCAACTCAGGATTCTAGGATTCTAGAATTCTCTGCTCTTCTAGTCAGATTGCAGAATTCCAAGCGTCTTGAGTATAGAAAGTACTGCAGTTCTGAGCTAGAACTGTTCATTCTTTTTTAAAATTTTTATTTATTTATTTTTTTGGTGCCAGGGATTGAACTCGGGTCCTTGTCCTTGCACAGCAGGGGTCGAAAACACTGAGCTAAATCCCTGGCCCTTCCCCATTAAATTTTAATCCCCAAATATACTGAGCTTCTGTTTATGTATCTAGGCTTTCTACATTTTTTTTTTTTCTGGTACCGGGAATCAAACCCAAGACCTCCCACTTGACAGGCAGGCGTGGTGTCAATGAGCTAAATCCCCAGCCCTGGGCTTTATACTTAAGTGGAAGGGAAAGCCAGGGCTTCAGCTCAGTGGTGAGTGTTCACCTACCATGTGTGAGGCTCTGGGTTCCATCTCCAGCACTGCAAAGCCAAACAGAGCAAGAAGGAGGCTTTATTTTTGCCCTAAGAACCTTCTTAGGGACAATTTAACTCTAAGACCCTAGAATTGTCTTCTAAAGTGATTCTAGAACTGCAAGATTCTATTTTATGGTTTGAGATTCTAGAATTGTCCTGGGTACAGCAGAAATGTACACATGTTCACCAGAATACAAGACCAACCTGTACACAGCACAGGATTTTGGAGTGATGAAGAGATGGTCATGTAATGGACTACTCTACAGCCAGGAAAAGGGATGAAGCACTCACAGATACACCAATAGAAGTGAATTTTTCAGACATCATGTGGAGTAAAAAAAAAAAAAGCAGACACAAAAGAGAACATACTTGGTAAGTATATTTAAATGAAATATATGTTGAGTGTGGGTGTGCACGCCTGTGATCCCAGCACTCTGGCAGGCTGAGGCAGGAGGATCTCAAGTTGGAGCCTAGCCTGGGCAATGTAGTGACTTAGCGAGACCAGGGCTGGAGCTCTGTGCAAAGGCCTTGGGTTCTATTCCCAGAATCACAAAAAGATAAAAATGAAAACCAAGACTGTTCCCACTCCCGCCTGGCCCTTGGCTCTCCTACCTGTGTCTACCAGGAGCTGCGTCCTGTTCCCCTCAGCCTTCTCCAGCTCAGGAATCTCCGAAGTCACCTGGCACACATAGGCTCCACTGTCATTGAGGGTCAGCTGGTCCAGCTTCAGGGTGATGTCCTCAGGCGCCCTCCAGGACAGCTGAGCCCTGGGCCCACACATGCCAGGGCTGGGGGTGCCTTTGGTAAGGAGCAGCTGACATATGACATCACCATCCTTGGTCCACTCCACACGGAGCCGCTCCCAGGACTGTGCCCGAGTCACTTGGCAGGCCAGGGTGGCCTGACCGCCCTGAGTCACCCTCAGGGACATGGGCCACTGCTTCACACTCAGGCTTGTGGTTCCCTGCAGGGCTGGGGGAAAGATGAGGCTGGTGAGCACTTTCCAGTGAGTGTGCAAGGCTCAACACCTCTCTGAGCCTGCGGGATGGGCTTGGAACCCACTGTCCCTGTGCCCTTGGGTGGGGTTGATCCTCTTTCTGGTGCTCAGTGGTTCAGTCTATGAAATGGGCACAACTCAGCTGTGAGAGTTCAAGCAGGACTCTTGGACGTGTCCAGCGCTCAAGCCTACAACTAACATCCAGCCTGTGCCCGGTCCTTAGCTGAGTGTGGGGGACACAGCGGTGATCAAGAGGGACAAAAGAGAAACGCATAGTGGTGCAGGCCTGTGATCCCAGCACTCAGGAGGCTGAGGCAGGAGGATCCCTGTGAGTTTGAGGCCAGCCTGGGCTACACAGAGAGACCTTGTCTCAAAAAACAAAAACCAAAAAGGCTCTAGGGTCAGATGGAGGCCGGAGAGTTGCAGAAGCAGAGAGGGGGCTTTGGGACTGAAGCAGAGGGAGTTCAGGCAGAGAGGGAGGAGGGGAAGGTGACAGTTTACTGGAAACCAAGGGAGCAGAGGAAACAGAGTCCAGTCTGAGGTGTGCTTCTCCCTTTGCAGTATGGGGCAGACCCCAGGCCCTGTGCATGTGAGGTGAGCGGACTCCACTGAGCAGCACCAGGCCGGACTCCAGTTTACTAAAAGCACCCTGCAGGCCACGGTGGGGACCAGCTATGAGGTGAGAACTCAGAGCAGGAGCAGGAGGAGCAGAGGACCTGGATATGACTGGACTGGTGGCAGCCATCGCAAGGGAGCCTGGGGGAGAAGCTGCTTCTGGCCATGATGGGCCTGAGCTGCCTGGTGGACCCTGCAGAAGGCACATTCCTGGCTCCTGAGATGCAGCTGGGCAGCGGCTGGGGAGACCAGAGCCAGAAGGAAAACCAGGTAGCCAAATAGCTGCACACAGGCCTGGAAGGCTCAGGAACCTGATGGGGGGCGGGGGGCGAGCAGATCTAGCTGAGGAGGGCATGGGCACACACCTGTCATGCCAGCACTGCTGGAGGCTGAGGCAGGAGGGTTGCAAGTTTGAGTCAAGCCTGGGCAACTGAGTGGCTTAAAGAGACCCTGCCTCAAACATTAAAAACAATTTGTTAGAAAAGGGCTGGGGATGTAGGTTAATGTGAAGGCCCTGGGTTCAATCCCCAGTAAAGGGAGAGAGAAAGGGGGGGGGGGAGAAGGAGGAGAAAAAGAAGAAGGGGGAGGAAAAAGGAAGGAGGAGGAGGAAGAAGAACAAGGAAGGGAGGGGAGGGAGGAGGAGAGAAGGAAAGGAAAAGAAAGAGAAAGAAAATCTGGCAGAGAGAGGCACTGCCGGAGGTGGGTGAGAACAGAGGCCAGAGGGGCCACGTCACCCACACCTGCCATGTGGGTAATTGTTTATCCTGGGGCCCCCTTAAGGACACCCCTGAAGCCCCCAAGCCTACAGTGTCAGGTAGCTGGGCCCTGTTTAAAAAGAAAGCTGGAGGGGCTCCAAGGGGGAGGAGGACAGCAGGAGGGGTGCAGAAGGAGGGTCCTAGGTACTCACCACACAGCTGGACCAGGAGCATCAGTCCCCAGCCTGGGGACCCCATCCCTGCCCCATGAGCTGCCACCAGGACACCTACTTCCCACCCCCACCAAGCGACAGACTTCCTGCCACCAAGTCGGCCCACCCTGTTACCGCAGGGGCAGAGTGACGTGTCAGGGGAGACAGCAGAGTTCTGGCGTTGGAGGCTGTCTGAGGGTCCTCTTTCTGCTGCCTCATGTCTGTTTCTCTAGTTTCCTATACTGAAAGGAAGTTTGTGTAGTGAGTGAGGGAGAGATATTTCTTTTTTCTTTTTTTTTTTTTTCAGTCCTGGGGATGAAACCCAGGGCCTTCACACCGAGCTACAACCCCAGCCCCTTTTTATTTTTTATTTTGAGCCAGAGTTTTGCTAAGTAGCAAGTTACCCAGGCTGGGCTGAAACCTGTGATCCTCCTGCCTCAGCCTCCCAAAGTGCTGGAATGTCAGGCATGTGTCAACAAGCCCAGATTCCAGACAATATTAAGTAGAAGTGGTGACAGTGGACATCCCTCTCCTTTTAAGGGGAAAGAATCCAGTCTGGTGGCCTCAAGTTTGCTGTCAGCTAGTTTTTGTAGGCGTCCTTCCTTGGGCTGAGAAAATGCCTCTATGTTCCTGGCTTTCTGGGAGCTTATTGTCTGTTTTTTTGGAGGGTGCTGGGGATGGAGCCTGGGTCCTCCACAAGGCAGGCGAGTGCTCACCACAGAGCCACAGCCCAGCCCCTAACCGGATTCTCTGTGGCTGACCTGACCTGACTGCGTGAGTTCTGAAAGCAGGCAGTAGACCTGGGGCTCAGCTTCACACTGCAACCGCGGAGTGACCTCCTTTCTTACCCAGGCTGGGAAGATTCTTGTTCTCAACCAGGGGGAGGTGGTGGCTTTGGAGGCTCTGTCTTCAGGCAGCCTCAGCCACGGGCGCTGGGGGGGGACACACCTCTTGCCTGCTTCTTTGGACTCTTCCAAGCTCTACCCTCCCCCTGGGCAGATTAAGGCCCAGACTCTGCCCGGTTGCTGGGAGAGAGAGTTGTTTTGTTTTTGTTTTGGAGAAGGTAAAAGCCTGGGGCTTTGTGGGATGTGTAAGAGTTCAGTTGTGTTGTGGGAAGGGAAAGAGGGCTTTGGCATTGAATATCAGCTTGAATAGTAGGCAAAGGTATTGTGTTCAAGTGCCACATCTTAGAGGTTGGGGTGGAGGGTTTGGGTGCCAATTTGAACAGCAAGGGAGAAGATATATGGGTGAACATGTGGGAAGACTGAGGCACCGGAGAACTTGAGATGACCCTGAGGTTACCTGGCAAAGCTGGAGATCAAAACCAAGTTCCAATTTAGAGCTTTCTCTTGTCTAGACATCATTCACATTCATTGGTTTATTCAGTTCTGTACTAAGTATTGAACACAGTGTCTTTGCACTGAGCTAGGTCCCCAGGTTGGGTTTTTTTGGTAATCGAAATCAAACTCAGGACCTCGCGCTTGGCAGGCAGGTGCTGTACCACTAAGCCACATCCCTCAGCTCTTTATTTATTTATTTATTTATTTATTTATTTATTTTTTGTACCGGAGATCGAACTCAGGACCTTGCGCTTGTGAGGCTGGGGCTGGAACCACTGAGCTAAATCCCCGGCCCTTCTTTTTTTTATTTTTTACTTTAAGACAGGTTCTCACTAAGTGGTCCAGTGGGCTCACTGGAGATCCTCCTGCCTCAGCCTCCCAAGTGCTAGGATGACATGCCTGGGACACCAAGCCCCGCTCAGACATCCTTCTCTGTGTTGCCAGGGGAGCTCCAAACTCTGCAAGTCGGGCTCCCTCGAACCCCGTCTCGGACTACATCTCCCAGGCTGCCGCGGCGGGCGCGCCTGCGCAGTGCGCGCAGTGATGGAGCGCTGACCGGGGGCGCGGCGGCGGCGAGGACTCCGCGGGCCATTGGCTACTGGCTGCGGCCAGGGCGGCTTGGGGACTCCAGAGCCAGCGGGGCCCGCGGGCCGGGCCGGAGTGGCCAGGCTGCAGCCATGGAAGACCACAGGGTAGGAAGAGGTGCGGGCGGGGCACAGTGCGCCGGGCGGGGTGGGGACCAGGTGAGCGCAGCGGCCCCTCCCCCAGCAGCTCTGCGGTCGCGGCCCTGCCCGGATCCAGGGCTCCCCCTACTTGGAACTGCGTCCCCCATCCTTCTGTTCCGGGGCCAGGGGCGTCCCCTCCGCCCCCACTCCCCACTCAGTACCCCGCTCCCCTCCCCCCCGCCTCCATCCCAGGTGTACCCATTCCCCCCACCAGCGCCGCAGTGCTGACCCCGCCCACCCTGCGACCCCAGCAGAAGGAACCCAGACACCGGGCCTTGTCTACCGCTTATCCTTCCCAGACCTATTTTCCCCTCCCCACTTACCTGGCCTCTGGGCCCTTCCCTTTTCCGGTTCTCCTTTTCTTTCTCCAGGTGATCCCACCCCCTTATTCTCTCCCCAGGTGGACCCCGTCTTCAGAGTAACCCCTTCCCAGCTCACCCCTGCTCCCAGGCCAGCCTTAGCCCAAGCTGTCCGCAGCCCCTAGGGGTCTGTTTCTCATGGATAGCCCCTTGCCCAGGCTAGCCCATTCCCTCTGGGCGGTCTTCGCTCAGGCTGGCCCGTCCCCCAGCGCTTGCTCAACCCTAAAGATGAAAGGGATTGGGTTGCGGGCTGGGTTTGGTGCTCAGCAGGCAGACCTGGTTCGGCCCTGTCCTTTCCCTAAAGCTCTCCCTGAGCCTCCACCTCCTCCCTTGCTCCCCTGTAAAATGGGGATGACTGCAGTGGCCACCTGGTAGGAGAGGTAGTTAGGGCCGAGTCACCCTTTGGAGGCGTGTTTTGCGGAGGGGTCACCCGGTCTGTGTGTGTGTTTGTGGCTTCATGGAGCAGGAGGCTCTGCGGAAGATCATCACCACCCTGGCTGTGAAGAATGAAGAGATTCAGAGCTTTATCTACTCCCTTAAGCAGATGCTACTGAATGTGGAGGTAAGGGAAGAGGGGAGCCAACTGCCAGGAGGCCGAGCCTGTTGCTGCTGATGTACAGGGCCAGCCAGGTTGTGCCTGGGCCTCAGTCTCTCCTTCTGATCACGGGCTTTGGGCAATCCTGGCTGTTCCTATGCAGGCGAACTCCACCAAGGTGCAGGAAGACCTAGAGGAGGAGTTCCAGTCCCTCCTGTCCATGCTGGAGGAGCTCAAGGAGGGCATGCTCATGAAGATAAAGCAGGACCGTGCCAGCCGCACCTACGAGCTACAGGTGTTCGACTCGGCCACCCGCAGGGGAAGTGGAGTCCAGGCAGCTGGGCATCTTCCTCCAAACCCCATGCTCCCAGACTCTGGTCTCTCCCCTTCCCCCTCCAGGCATGGCCTGTCAATCCCATCTGCCTTCCCTTCCCCTTAATCCCTTCAGCTCTGAACCCCAGATCTGAGAGCTTCACCCCCACTCACATACCTCCCATGGCTCCCCTGGGCTCTTACTCTCCAAGCTGGGGTCCCTCGAGCTGCATCCAAACCTCCTGAGAGCCTCCTAACATCCCAGATTCCCATCCCCAGGGAATGTGGAGCCCAGGAGCTCAGTTGTCCCTAGGTGTGTGAGGGTTTAAGGAAGGGATTTCCCTGGCAATTCTTCTGTAGTGCAGGAGCCAGGGTCAAGCGCTAACCTCCCTGTCCTACCTGGTGATGGAGAAGCCAGGGCTTCCCCGGATCCTGACCATAGTGGGGCGGGGGCCCTGGGAGGGTTCAAGGCAGTGCAGTGAGTCCCTGTGCTGGGCTGATGAGTCCCTTGTACCCCACAGAACCAGCTGTCTGCCTGCACCCGGGCCCTGGAGAGTTCGGAGGAGTTGCTGGAGATGGCCAATCACACCCTGCAGGCTGCTGACAGCGAGGACTTCCTCCAGGTGGGTGTGTTTGAGGCGGCACCCAGGGTCGATGGCAAAATTCAGTGCACCTGGTGACACTTGCATTTCTACTTAATTGCACGTATGCTTTTTAGTGGAAGGATGGCCTATCCGGGCAATAGTATCAGTGTGTCTCAAACATTGCCTCGTGTGGTGGTGCATCCCTGTCATCCCAGCACCTCTGAGGCAGGAAGATTACAAGTTCAAACCCAGCCTGGGCAATTTAGCCTGTCTCAAAAAACAAACAAAACAAAACACCGGGCATGGTAGAGGATGGCTGTGAGTTCAAGGTCAGCCTGGGTTACATAGTGAGTTCAAGGCTGGTCTGAACTACATAGTGAGACCCTCTCTCAAAAAACAAATACATGGGGCCTGGGGATTTAGCTCGGTGGTTCCAGGGCCTGCCTTGCAAGCGCAAGGTCCTGAGTTCGATCCCTGTACCAAAAAAACAGAACAAAACAAAACAAAAACAAAATGAATAAATAAATAAAAATAAAAAGGGCTGGCGATGGAGCTTAGTGCAAAGGCCTGGGATCCATACCCAGTATTGCAAAAGAGAAAAAAGATTGCACAGGACATACTTATAATAAAAAATTATTTGTTGTTGACTTGAAATTCACATTTATCACTGGATATTTTTAATATACATATATCTCATATAGTGCTTAGCATATCTCAAATATTGCATGGGACACGGTTATTTATGTTAAAAATACAATCCTTCATTATTTATCTGAAACGTCAGTGAAGCTGGGTCACCTGTATTTTTGTTTGCTGAGTGCACCAGCTGCTTGTCCTGGGTACTGGCAGGAGGCTGGGACAAAGGTGGGTTTGTGTCTTTGGTGCCTTCTCCCTTCAAGGACTGCCAGAAGGAGGAGTTTCTTCCTCAGTCGGTGGGGGGTGGCTCTGTCACAGGGCCACACCCCAGTTTCTGATTTTGTTAAGACTAACCTGAGAATTCACTCTGTCCCTCCCTCTAGGCTGCCAAGCAAATCAAAGATAGGTAAGATGCTGGGTTTGACCCCACCCCAGTGCCCTGCCTTTGGTGACGGTGGGGACCCGGGCCCAGAGCACTGGACATGAACACAGGGACACACCTCAGATGACCAGGCCTGCGACCCCCACCCCTGAGACAGTGTCAGCAGGCTGCTTCCACCTCCTTCTTCACAGTGTAACAATGGCTCCTGCCTTCCGGCTGTCACTGAAAGCGAAGGTCAGCGACAACATGAGTCACCTCATGGTGGACTTTGCTCAAGAACGTCAGATGCTGCAGGGCCTTACGTTTCTGCCTGGTGAGAGGGAAACCTGCTGGAGGGCTAGGCTTGCAAGGAAGTGGCCCCGCAGCCAGGAGGCTTGAGGCAGGACCTGGACTGAGGGTGACCATCCAGTGCCTGGATCCAAGAAAGTCCCCGTCCTGGGGGCAGAACCCTGAGGCTGCAACACCCTGCCTGGGTGGAGCCCTGCCATCCTCCCACACAAGGGTGGAGCCTTTGAGTGTTCTGCCTATATGTGGGTGGGGCCCAGTGGCCCCTCCCACATTGGGGCGGTCCCTCAGTTTGCTCCTCCCCTGTGCGGATGGAATCTTATTTTAGCGCCATGTATGCAGGATGCAGCCCTCCCGGGAGTGACGCCAGAAGAGCCCCTCAGTGGAATCCAGGGAGAATGCCCTGAGAAAGCCACACCTCCTTGGGAATTGGCACTCTGAGACTCAGAGTCCCCTGGTGGTGGTGGCTGAGGCAGGAGAGGCACAAGTTCAGCCCAGCCTGGACAACTTAATGATTTATGGAGACCTTGTCTCAAAAAATAGAAAGGGCAAGGAATGTAGTTTAGTGTGAAAGCCCTGGGTTCCATCTCAGTATTGGAAAGGCAGGGGGGAAGGGAGAAGAGGAGGACAGGAGGAAGGAAAGAAGGCCCTGTCAGTTGGTAGAGAATTTTGGCAAATTCCCGACTCTAAATAGTGGCATCTTGAGATGGTCCCGTCCTTTGTTGGTTGAGTCCTGAGAAAGCTCTCAAAACCCCACTTCTTGGACCCCCGAGGAGTCTCCAGCCCCTGGTCCCCAAAACCCAAAGGAGCACCCTCCCGGGTGAGGAACTCAGTGGCCCTGCCCACAGGCTGTCACGTGGTAGGTGGGCTCCAGCAAGCCCCTCCCACCCCACTGGGCACAGAACCTTGACTGTCTCTCCCTTCTGTCTGGGGCAGTGCCCAGCACCCCCATGATCGACCTAGCCGAGTCCCTAGTGGCAGATAACTGCGTGACCCTGGTGTGGCGCATGCCGGACGAGGACAGCAAGATCGACCACTATGTGCTGGAGTACCGGAGGACCAACTTTGAGGGACCCCCACGCCTCAAGGAGGACCAGCCCTGGATGGTGGTGGAGGGCATCCGGCACACGGAGTACACCTTGACAGGTCAGGAGCCTGCCTGGCTGGGGCTCCCAGCACATTTCACCCCTGAAGCCACTCTCCAACCATTAGCCATCGGAGTCTTGTTGCCGATGGGTCTTATTCTGAGACCAGGTCTTGCTAATTTGCTGAGTTGCCCAGTCTGGGCTCTAATTTAGGACTCTCCTGCCTCAGCCTCCCAGAGTGCTGGGATGACAGGTGTGCACCACCACACCCATCTTACATCACCATTTGACAAATGAGGAAACTGAGGTACAGGAAGTGAAGGCGTCATTCGTTCCTTCTAAGTTACCCTGCACCTACAGTGGACCAAATGCTGTCCTTATAACCTTGAGCAAAGGAGCGAGAACTCTTGCCTCATAGAGTTGGGATCCAGGGACACCCCCAGGTATTGGGCAATTTCCTTGGCTGTTATAAAAGAAATAAAAAAGCACTGGACATGGTGGCCCACACCTGTAATCCCAGCACTTAGGAAGGTGAGGCAGGAGGATTGCCAGGAGCTCAAGACCAACCTGTGCTGCATAGTGAGTTCCAGGCCAGTCTGACCTACATAGCGAGACCTTGTCTCAGAAAAACAAAAGAAATAAAAAAGCACAGGGAATCCACCCAGCTGCTAAGGGTGGATTGGATCTGAAGGCCAAAAAAAGTCAGGGGTCCTTCCTGAATTTCAAATTTCAAATGCCCTCCTGAGTGGCAGGAAGCCCTGGGGCCAGGAGAGTCTTAGAGACATGATAAGTATCACATTCATGGCCTCACTCTTAGGCTATAATCAGCCCTAGTTATCTGTAATTAGCACACATGGTTAATAATGAGCATGCTAATTGCAGGGGGAAAAAATCACCAGCCCGCCAGCCAAGGAGTCTGAGATCTATTTTTTTCTTTTTTGCTTGGGAACTAAAATAAATACACGCCTCTTTTAATTTTTTTTTTTTTTTTTTTTTGGTGCCAGGGATCGAACTTGGGTCCTTGCGCTTGTGAGGCAGGCAGCGAAACTACTGAGCTAAATCCCTGGCCCTCTTTCAATTTTTTTTTCTATAGGATTCCATAATCTCACCTCCAAGGCCTCCTGCCTTTTGTTTTGTTTTGTTGTGACTTTTTGTTTGGGCATAATTATAGATGTACAAGTAGTTGTAAACAAAAAGTGCGTTGAGTCTGGGCATGGGGGTGCACTCCTGTAATCTCAGCTACTCAGGAGACTGAGGGAGGGAGATTGCAAGTTTGAGGCCAGCCTGGGCAATTCAGTGAGACCCAGCCTCAAAATAAAAAATGAAAAGGGCAGGAGGTATTGGCTGAAGCCTGCTCTCAGTGATTGCCAGTTTGCAGCCAGAGAAACTGAGGCATGGGCTGAGTCTAGATCTCTCCTTTTGTTGTTTTTTTTTTGGTGCTGGACTTCGAACTCGGGACCATGCGCTTTTGAGACAGGGGGCAGAACCACTGAGCTAAATCCCCAGCCCTAGATCTCTCTTTCTGCCCTGAGCGTTTGTTGCTGAGCACCCTATGAACTCTCAGAGGAGGTGAGGCAGAAGACCGCTGGTGCATCTGTCTGTGGCAGCAACTGGGGGTGGAGGGCAGGCAGAGGGGAAGACAACACCCTCTTCAGGGCCCAGAGGCTGCAGTGCCAGGCTTCTGTGTCTGGAGCTAGTTAGTTTACAGAGGTGAGAAAATGAAATGACGTCGAGGTGAGGTGAAGGGAGCTATGGAGGGTTGTAGAGCAGCAGCTGTGGTGAGGTCCAAGCTCCTGTTTCGGATGCCTGCAGAGTGGGCATCCAGGGAGCCAGCAATCAGGAGGCAGCTGTACACTCAGGGCCAGGCAACAAGTTGGGGTGTGGCTGCCATGGGTGGAAGGGGACCAAGGGCAGTGGGAGATGAGTAGGAACTCTGGCCTGTGCACCGGATGTGGAGGGCTAGCGGAAGGAGGAGCCTAAAAAAAGACCAAATAGGAGCCACAGGGGGAGGGGGACAGCTAGAAAGCTAGCAGAGAGCAGTGCTGTGGGCCCAAGGCAGGGTGTTCAGGCAGGACAGCTGTGGTCAGCCAGGGGCTCCGGTGTGATGGCGCCTGAGGAAGGAGAGGGAAGGAGTCAACACAGGGGTGACCTGTGGACAGTGCTTCAAAGAGCTTTAGCTGGAGGGCTGGGGTGTGGATCGGGGTGGAGCATTTGCTTAGTGTGCAGAGCCCTGGGGGGCTCCATCCGCAGGGCTGCCCCAAAAAATTCAAAAATCAAAAAAAAAATATATATATATATAAATACATACACATTACAGTATAGTGGCACAGGACTGCACCCAATTCTTTCTTTTTTTTTCTTGTGGTACCTGGGATTGAACTCAGGACCTTGTGCTTGCCAGGCAGGCGCGGTGCCACTGAGCTACATCCCTGCCCTGAACCTGTCTCAAAATAAAAATAATAATAATGGTGATGATGATAAAAGGGGTAGGGATATAGCTCATTGTAAAGGCCATGTTTTCAATTCCCAGTGCTGAAAACAAAAAGGTTTAACATGATAATTATGAATAGAAAGGGTAGATTATTCAAAGTAGAGAGAATGTTCAACAATGTCCCCCAAGTGACTCAGTAACATTGGTCCCTGCAAATGGTGTCTCTGGGAACTGCATTTTTTTGTTGTTGTTGTTACCGGGGATCAAACTCAAACTCGGGTCCTTGCGCTTGCGCGGTAGGTGTCGAAACCACTGAGCTAAATCCCTGGCCCCTGGGAGCTGCATTTTTGAAGATGCTTCCCCAGCCTCCCTGCAGATTCTCCCAGGAGAGTTTGGGCCTAGCCTGGAGGAAAAGCTACTCTCCTGGCCATAGTACTGAAGATCCAGGGCAAATTCTGATTGGCCAGTTTGAGTCATGTGCCCGTCTCTGAGCCAATCAACCAATCCCTGAGACAGAGTCATAGAGCATCTTGATTGGTGGCTCTGGACTGGAGGCAGGATCAAGCAATGCATAAGCCCCACAGGTCAGTAGGGACAGAGGCCATTTTCCAGGGATAAGATGTTATTTAATGTGAGGGGTGGGGGCCTCACTGTGGAATGTAGTAGATTCTTTTTTTTTTTTTGTACCAGGGATCGAACTCGGGTCCTTGCGCTGGCGCAGCAGCTGGCGAAACCACTGAGCTAAATCCCTGGCCCTGAATGTGGTAGATTCTAACCAGGGCTCAAAGTCACAACAGAGACTGTGCAGCATTGCCATCCATCATCCCTCTTGCTCCCCAGGTCTCAAGTTTGACATGAAGTACATGAACTTCCGGGTGAAGGCTTGTAACAAGGCAGTTGCAGGGGAGTTCTCCGAGCCAGTGACCCTGGAGACACCAGGTGACTGGCTCCCATCCCCTCCCTGTCCCTGACTCCATGTCCCCTCCCTCTTGATGCCCCAGGGACCAGTATGACATGAGAATCTTCCAGTTACCCGTTTTTTTCTGTGGCCCTTGTTTCCCTGGCTGCCAGGAAGCTCCAAGCTCCGTCCACAGTGACTTCCTTAGCATGGTATCTGCTACAACCATGCTTTTGTCTTTTGTTTCTGAGAGTCACCCCATTATAACTGGAAGTTTTGTTTTTGCTTGCTTTTTTTTTTTTTTGCTTTTTGAGACAAGGTTTTACTATGTAGTGTAGGCTGGTCTTAAACTCACTATGTAGTGCAGATTGGCTTCAAATTTACGACAGTTCTCCTGCCTCAGCCTCCTGAGTGCTGGGATTACAGGTGTGTCCAACCACACTCAGCATCTATGTGGTTTTTATTCACCCACATACATTCTTTCTTTCTCCTCTACCCTCCCCCCAACCAAATAGTTAAGTCCTCTTAGAGCTGGGGACAAAGTATCTGTAGTGAAAACAGATTCTGCAGCCTCCCACAGTGACACCTTTGATGTCCTGCTGGGAAGTCCCTCTGCTGTCTAGCCTGGCTCCTGCTTGCCAGAGCCCTGCCCCTTTCCTGGGATTAGCTACATGGCACCACCTTGCTGCCCATTGCTCCTCTGGCTCCTTGTTTGTTCCAAGCCCTTCTCAGCCTGTCTCTCTCAGTTCTTCCTGCCTGTCTTTCTGACCCCCATCTGCTGGTTTCTGTCTGTCTCCATCTCTGGCTCTTCGTCTCTCCCTGTTCTCAGTGCCTGTCTTGGTCTGTCTGGGTCACTGTCTGCCTGTCTCTGTCTTTTTGTGTCTCTCTGGGTTTTCCCATCTCTGTACCTCCCTCGTCTGCCCGGCCCCAGCGTTCATGTTCCGCCTGGATGCGTCCACATCTCACCAGAACCTGCGGGTAGACGACCTTGCCGTGGAGTGGGACGCTATGGGCGGGAAGGTGCAGGACATCAAGGCTCGAGAGAAAGATGGCAAGGGGCGGACGGCATCTCCTGTCAACTCCCCAGCCAGGTAGCTTGCCTCTGGGGTGGAGGGAGGAACCTAGGGTTGGAGGAACCCCAAGTGAATGAAGGGAAGAGGATATTTTGGGCAGGGTTTTGATGGTTGAATAATTTTCCAAACCTGACTGTGAAGGGCACAGTATACAGAAAGGTCCAAATATATATTCTCAGGGCCAAACCAAACATCAACAGTGTTTGGGATGGACCAAAGAGGCCCTTCTATGTAGAGGAGAGGCCTGAACTGAGTCTTCCCCTCCCTGCCACCCACAGAGGTACTCCATCCCCCAAGAGGATGTCCTCAGGTCGTGGGGGTCGGGACCGGTTCACAGCTGAGTCCTACACAGTACTGGGTAAGGATGGGAGAGAAGGGAGAGAGGGGAGTTCTGGGGAGAGCTCTGGGGAGGGGTGGGAGACAGGCAGCTGTCACCCAGCTTTGGTGGGAGAGGTCTTGATAAGAGGCATTGTTCCTGCTCTGGGAGAATGGAGTATTTGGGGTGAGAGATGAGTGGAGGGAGCCAGCACCCATGGAGCTAAAGAACAAGCCTCAGGGCTGGGGAGTGGTCAGACGGAGTGGACAGGCAGATTTCCTAGTCTGTGGAGAAGCCACGATTTGGGCAGTAGCTGGAAAGAATGTTTGCCTGTGGAGCAGCTGAAGCAGGACAGGAGTTTACAGCCAGGCATGGCTGGACACACCTGAAATCCCAGCCCTCTGGGAGGATGAGGCAGGAGGATCATAACCTTGAGCCCAGCCTGGATAACTTAGTGACTTAGCAAGACCCTGTGTACACATTTTTTAAAAAGGATGAGGATGTAGCTCAGTGTCGTGGCCCTGGGTTCAATCACCAGTACTACAAAAAAAAAAAAAAAAAACCTCAAAATGTACAGGAGTTTGGGGAAGTAGTTTAGAGTGGGTGGAGGAGCCAGGTAAAGAAGTAGCTGGTGTCTGAGGAGAAGCTAAGAGGGGTGGTATAGGAGGAGAAAGTAACATCATAGGAACCATTATATCCTGTAAAGGAACTGAAGTGTAGAATTGCCAATGTTTACAAAAGAGCTGGAGCAATGAGGTATGAAGCAGTCAGTATGGTCAGTAATATAAACAAGGAAGGGAGATGTGAGGATAAGCCAGGACCTGAGAAGATGTTGTATGGACAATCTGGTTTTCTGAGGCGCATCTGGGACTGGGGAGAGTTGGGGTTTAAAGAGGAGGTGGGGGTCGGGCGTGGTGGCACACTCCTGTAATCCCAGCACTCGGGAGGCTGAGGCAGGAGGATTGCTGTAAATTTGAGGCCAGCCTGGGCTACATAGTGAGACCCTGTCTCAAAAAACCAAACCAAACCAAACAAAAAAGGAGGGGAAGGAGGAGATATATGGGTACAGGTGTAGAGTGCTGAAAGTTGGAGAGAGAGAGAGGTTTCTGGAAAGGGGAGAGGAACCTGGGCACTATGGGCTGGGGGAGTAGCTGAGATCTGGGAGGAGCTGAGATATGTGGAGCTGAGCTGTGATCCAAGAGAGGCAGAGCAGAGGAGCAGAAGTTCAGGAACAGCTCCACTGAAGCGATTGGAGGGGGTAGCTGAGATGTGGATCATCAGGACTTGGGGAAGACAGGATGTGGCTCAGGGATTAACTGAGACTTGGACAGCATCTGAGGTCTGGGTGGAGCTGATGCCAGAGGAGTAGCATAATGCAGAGGGTACCTGGAGAGTGACTGGCTGGTGGATCCCCGGGAGACCTATAGCCCTCAGAAGTGGCTGACACAGGAGAATCTGGCCTCCACCAGGAGTTAGGGTCTAGATAGATCTGGACTCAGAAAACAGTCAACAGCCAGGGATTTAGCTCAGTGGTTCTGGCACCTGGCTCGAAAACCCAAAGTCCTACGTTCCATCCCTGATAGCAAAAAAAAGAAAACAGTCAACAGCAAGGAATCAGCCCTGGGAAGTGTCTGGATTCTACCATAGCTGGGGATTAGAGGGAGTCTCTAGACTTGAGGAAGAACTCGAGACCTCTGGGAACATGGGTTTTGTCAGGAGGAAGAGCTCGGGGATATCTAGTTTCTGGAAAGAAGTGAGGGGCATCTGGGGAGGAACTCTAAAACTTGAAAGTATTTGCAAGGAGTAGCGTGGCTTGGAGAGAATCTGAGAGGAAAAACTGAGGTGCAGAGAGTATCTGGGCTTAGTATCTAGAGTGAGTTGATAAAGCCTGGGGAGTAGCTGGGGTCCGATAAGTACCTAAAGGGAGCAAAGAGCCCAAGCAATACTTGGAGGGAGTACATGGGATCCCTGAGGAGTACCTGGAGGAGCAGCTGGGGCCCCATGGAACACCTGCAGGGTGTGGCTGTGGTGTAGGGAGTGCCTGGCTGAAGAACATCTGACCCGGCTCCTCAGGGGACACCCTGATTGATGGCGGGGACCACTACTGGGAGGTGCGCTATGAGCCGGACAGCAAGGCCTTTGGCGTAGGTGTGGCCTACCGCAGCCTGGGCCGCTTTGAGCAGCTGGGCAAGACCTCGGCTTCGTGGTGCCTGCACGTGAACAACTGGCTGCAGGTCAGCTTCACAGCCAAGCACGCCAACAAGGTCAAGGTGCTGGACGCCCCCGTGCCCGACTGCCTGGGTGTGCACTGTGACTTCCACCAAGGTGACATTCCCCAGCCACCTCTACCCTCCTCACCGATACCTGACTCCCCCACCCCTTATCCCTAGCCGACTCCTGACACTGTCACTTTGCCTCCAACTCCAGGCCTCCTGTCCTTTTACAATGCCCGCACTAAACAGCTGCTGCACACATTCAAAGCCAAGTTCACGCAGCCACTGCTGCCGGCCTTCACGGTGAGCCACCCCCAGCCCAGGGACAGGGGTGGGAGTTTGGCTGGGTGCTGTGGCTTGGGGCTGAGCCTCCCCCTCCTCCCCAGGTCTGGTGTGGCAGCTTCCATGTGACGACAGGCCTGCAGGTCCCCAGCTCCGTACGCTGCCTGCAGAAGCGGGGAAGTGCCACTAGCAGCTCCAATACCAGCCTCAGCTAGGCCACCAGCCACCCAGCCAGCAGGGTGTCTTTGGGGTTGCAAGCATCGCCCTCTCTCTTGCTGCTTGGAGCCTTAACTTGTGAATGAGTGGGGGGGTCATCACCAGGGAGTGGGCACTGGGGTGCCCCCCCCTTCCTAATAAAGGTCAGACACTGGCTAGGCTGGGCGCTGGTTCTTTGGGGCGGGTGGTCACGCCCATCCTGCCTGCCCTGTGGCCTGGACCTCAGCCTTTCCAGCTGTCAAATGGGCTTTTTTTCCCCCAAATGGGCTTTTTCTGTAGCATCCAGTGGCAGCTTCCGAGCTCATTGGGAATAAGTGGGCCCTGCAGTAGGCAGACATCCAGTGGACCCCTCACCCCCAATCCCTCAAGCCAAGCCAAACACGTGAGCCTGGATGTCATTTGAAATTTAATGCTGAGGGAATGGATCAGTTTGCTGAGACTGGCTCTCTTGCCCCCGTGGGTCCCACTCACTGCTCCAGCGCTCTCCTCCTTTGCAGCTTCTCCTCCAGCTCTGCGGTCACATCCCCCAGCCCTGGGGAATGGGGACCGCACACTCTAGCTGGGCCAGGGATCCCTAGCCCACACCCTGCCCCTAGACCCACCCAGGACCCAGTGCAAAATGAAAATGTGTTCAGAGGCATTGGGAATTTCCCGGCAGCAGGGGGGAATTAGTTTGAGGGCCCTTGGGAGCAGGAGACCCTGGGTGCCCCACACCTCGGACGCCCACCCTGCATCCACCTCTCAGAACCACTTACTTGTCGTGAGCAACAAAGCTTGGGGCGAGCTGCCTGGTGGCTTCCTGGTCAAGACACTACTGTTGCCTTTGGGCTCTGGAAAAGAAAGCAGATGAGGGCCAAGGCCGGCGGCCATTGATATAAGGAGGGCTGGGAGAGGGCATCCTACCTGGCCTGGGCACAATGGGTGGCTTCGGAGGCTTGGCTGGGGGCTTGGCCAACTTCTTGGGCTTCAGGATGATCGGCTGACTCGGGGAGATCACTGCGTGGACAAAGGCGAGGTGTCCCCTCAGGCTGGTAGCCGGCTATCCCAACCCGTGGTGCTCGAAGCCCTGCCCCCACCCACCATCTTGATTCTGGTAGTCAATAGTTGAGGCGTCCTCAATGGGAATCACATAGTTCTCATCTTGGCTAGGTGGCCGGGGCAGGGGAGGAAGTGGGGGCTTGTCCTGGTTGGACACAGGCGGTAGCGACTTGGGGCCATCTGCAGGGGGTGTAGGACCTGGTGGGGAAAGGAGGTCACTGTCAGGGCTGCGTGGTACAGCAAGGACACATAACGTACATGTGTCCCTGTGCGTGTGTTTCTGTGAATGTGCCCATTTAGGAATCTACTTTCTATAGTGTACACATGCACGCTATTTGGATTTGGATTAAATATACTGTATGTAAACTGGATGTGGTGGCGCATGCCTGTAATCACAGCACTCAGGAGGCTGAAGAAAGGAGGAGGATCACTGCGATTTCAAGGCCAGCCTGAACTACACAGTGAGACACTGCCTCAAGCTCCCACTTCAAAAAAACACGCTTTTGGTGCATAGCCATGCATAGTGCCGCCTGTCTGCTGAGGTGCATGCTTGAGTGGTTTTTGTTTTGTATTGTTGTGGTGCTGAGGATTGAACCCAGGGTCTATGTACTGAGCTACATACCCAGGCCTTTTAAAACTTTTTGTGACAGGGTCTCACTAAGTTGCTCAGGCTGGGCTCCAACTTGTGAGCCTCCTGCCTCAGCCTCCCAGAGTGCTAGGATGACAGGTGTACAACACTGCTCCTAGGATATGCTTGAGTCTTGAGTGTGTCCAAGTGTAGTTTGGCTGTATCTGTGGATCTCTGTACTTTGGCGTGTGAATGTGATCACAACCGATGATAGGTATTTTTGTGATGCGCTGTGGATAGGTGTGACTGTAATTTGGGACACACATGTGCTGGCATGTGTGAAACCTGCATTTACATACACAAAAGGAGCCTCTGCTTATACAGGCTGGTTCAGAGTTTAACGAGCATGTGCATATGTGTTTGTGTGGTACACGTCCATCACACTCTTGGGTACCCTGCAGCTGCCCACCCCAGGGAGGACCCCACTGCCAACCCACATATGTCCCTGTGTGTCCCCGCCTCTTCCGCCTAAATCCCTGGGCCAATTTGATTTCCAACCCTTTCCCAACACCCACCCAGAGTCTTCATCTCTGGGGAATCTGTCCCTCTTCTGTCCACGGATACCCATTAAAATTCTTCAGGATCTTCTGTAAGCACCGCTTCCTGAAGGAAGCCTTCCTTGTGCTGCCACCCCTTCCTCCAGCCTCGGTTTCTCCTACACCCTAGGTTGGGCCCTACAGTATCTGGGTTTGGCTCTATCTACCACCTCCCAATCTAGGAGCCCCTCCAGTCGAGATATGGGTAATTCCCAATCCTGGACTCTGGGTACTCATGGGGCACGTGTGGCTAGGCCACTGGTGTGTGTGTGGGTGGGTCTTAGGTCCCCTCCCTCCGTGCCCAGGTGGGGAGGGGGCGTCACCTGGGCCCGGGACAGAGGGCACCACCCACACACGCTCGCCATTCTCTTTATCTGTTTCCACACAGCCTGGAACACAAAAGGCTGCCTGGGGGAGGCGCGGTGGCCAGGGGTGGCCTGGGGTGTCCCCGGGGGCGGGGGCGGGAGAGGTGGGGACGCCCCGCCCCCAGGCTCCTGGAAGCCGCACCCACCTAGCACCTTCTCATAGTCCTCGTCCAGCAGGAAGGGCACCAGCGCCCTCTTGGTGTGTGACACGAAATAGTTGACCACTGCGTCCAGAGAGGCGCAGGAGAACTAGGGGGCGGGACGGGGGCACTTTCAGGGCTGGTGAGGAAAAGGACCACCCCGCTACGGCGCTGCTGGGGACCGAGGCGCACTGCTTACCGGATCCTCCATATCAATGACGTATTTAGAACCTTCACGCTTCACCTTGTAGTGCCGGACCTCAGGTGTCCTGTTCAGGGACTGGGCTCAGGATCACATTCCAGGAGGGAAGAACCCGTCCTAGTCCTGGCTCCACCCCGACGGAAAGCCAGACCAGCGGACTGCACCCCCAGTGGAGACCCCGTCCCAGCTCTTGGCCCCGCCCCCAGGGAGAGTCAGACCCGATTGACTCCACCTCCAGCGAAGGCTCCGCCCTCAGGAAGACGCAGACTGGACCGGCCCCACCCCCAATGGAGGCCCCTATCCAAGTCCTGCCAACGCCCCTAGGAGGGACCAGATCAACTGACTCCACTCTCAGGGACCACCTCGTCCCTTCATATAGCTCCGCCCCAGGACTCTGATTCCGCCCTCAATGTGGCCCAGCCCCTAAAGGATGCTCAGGGAATTTAGTGTTAGGCTCTGGTTCTACCACCAGAGGCTCCTCTAGAACTTGATGTAATGAACAAGGACCGCCCCCTTTCGGTCACGACTCCCCCCCCCCCCCCGGGTCCTGACCCCGCCCAAATGGTTTATTTCCATTCTTGGATGTGACTGACTTTGTGCCTGTTCTGGAGGCCCAGACTCGATCCCCAGCACCTTACCTGAACTGACCCTAGCCCTTAGCCTACACCGTTTCCCAGCCCTGCCCCAGGCTCTGACCCTTTCCCGAAAGGATCTGTAGCCCGGACTGGGCTCCAAGTCTCCCCTAGGCATTGACGCCCATAGCTTAGGGTTAGGGTTGGGGTGCCACCCCCCCCCAACTCTGGCCACGTCCCATCTTGGCTCCTCCTTCGCTTCTGGCCACGCCCCCACGCAAATTTTCCTCCCACCTCAGGCTCCCTAGCTGCGCATGCGCACCCGTTGAACACCTGTCTGGTGGAGACCGACACATTGTCTGCACCGGTCCCGCTGGGCCGAAGCAACAAGTTCCCGCACTCGGGGTAGCGCTCCAGGAGGAGTTGAGCCTCCAGCCGGCTCACTTTCAGGAAGCACCTGGGGAGAGCAGGCAAGTAACCCAAGGGAAAGCCCCGCCCCCGGAGGCCAAAGCCATACAGAACCTGGCCTGGGGTACTGGCTCCACCCCCTAAACCCAGGACCTGACCCCCGAGACCCAGTCCCACCTCTGGACCCAGATCCCGACCCCCGAGATCCAGCCCCATCTCCTGGACGCAGGACTCAACTCCAAGGATCAAGCCTATCCCATAGTCCCAGGAGAGACTCAGACAAACCTTTCAGGCACCTGGATTGTCAAAGAATTTGTCCCTCTCCAAACACCTAGACCCCACCCACACCCCAGGGCCTGCCCCCTCCTCAGGCACCCTGGAGTGCTCCGGAAGACCACGCCCACCCAGACAAGGCCCCGCCCGCACCCGGCCCCGCCTCCCACAGGTAGCCCCGCCCCCAGTGGGCATCCTCACTCACGAGGGCACCTCGAGCGCCCGGCGCGCCTCCTCCTTGGTCAGGACCTCGGACATCATGTAGAGGTGTCCAGGCAGCAGGGTCAGGTTGGACGGGACACAGAGCTGAGTGATGATTGAGGTACAGCGACGGCACAGCCCGTGAGTAAAGGGATCTCTGTGCCCAAGTCACAGATGCCAGCATGCAGATCAGGATGGAAACGGGAGTCCTTAGACTCCCGAGCTCTGCCAAGCTCCTCGGGCAGAGTGGGGTTGCAGAGTGTGGAGACCGGGAAAGGGGACTGAGCAGGACCTGGAATCTAGGGTGTCAAACTCGAGAGTCAACGGCCCGGCAGGTCCCAAACACAGTGGCCTTCGAGAGCCGGGCAGGAAAGTCCTGAGCCAAAGAGAAATCAGGAATGCAGACTAACGTGCCTGGTTTGGGAGTGATGGCAGCTAAATTTTTTTTTTGGTACCAGGGATTGAACTTGGGACCTTGCGCTTGCGAGGCAGGCACCAGAATCACTGAGCTAAATCCTCGGCCCTAGCAGCTAAATGTTTTACCAGTCTTTTGAAAGAAAGAAAAGATGTCTATGGAAAAGACTATGTTTGAGTCATGGGCCCAAAGTTTGAGACCATCATGCTACACCTTCAAAATTCTTTTGGAGAATGAAGGATGGGAAGGGAGAGGAAGATTTCTGAGGAACTCCAGAGAGGAAAGGGAGAGAGGGAGGGAGGGCAGCCACACTTACCTCCACCACAGTCAAGATGAAGCCTTTCCACATCTCCCGAGACTCCAGACTCTCTGCCTAGGAGGAGAAGAAAGACACTGGAAGAGGCTCAGTCTACTCATCTGTGAAATGGGCTGTGGGAGTATCACACCCTGTTTCCAAGAGCCACTTTGAAAATGGAATGAGATAAGACAAATTCCTTTAGGATGATGTCTGGGTATAAGTCCTCAGTAATGTGGGATATTCTTTTTTAATGTTAATGTTATATTATTATTTGAAAAACATCAGATCCTCTGATTTATACACCTCTGGTGCTCTGAAATCTGAAATCTTGCCTCCCACCTGCCTCAGGGTCAAAGCCCGTCCTCCCTGCAGCCCACAGGGCCCTACCCTGCCTGGCCCACCCACACCCTCCCTGCCTGGGCTTCTCACTCCCTCTGCTCCAGCCACAAGTCCTCCTCACTGATCCTGCAAGGCAGGGCACTGCACTGCCCCAGGGCTTTTGCATGGCTGACCAGCCCTCTCCCAGAGACTGAGGCTCAGAGAGGTTGACTGGCTTTCTGGTACAGTGTCACCAACCCAGTGCAAATGTCTGTGTGACTCTTCATTTGTGTGTGTTGATGGGGAGGGAACAGAGACTCCCCTATTGCTCCTCCAGCAAACCCACCTTGAACTTGATGTCCTGATCCCTGAGGACCAGGCTGAAGTGGATGCCTGGGTCCCACAGGCTTCCCTGGGGAGCCTCGTCTGTGAGCTTCACAAATGTTCTCAAGTCGAGCTTCTCCAGGGGCTGGGCACAGAAACGGGGTCTGAGCACCAGGCCTGTGGCCCTCAGGCCACCTGGATGAGGTAGCCCCTGCCTTGCCAGCCTTCTACACCCTCAGCATAGTCCCTGTGGTCAAGGTGGGTCGGCTCCTGAGCTCTCGTCCCCATCCTTACCTGGATGTCCCGATTACTGTTGTAAAAATAGATGGTGAGGCCCCGGAGCCCTGTCCAGAACTTCCTGTAATCCTGGGGACCAAAAGTAGAAAGAGAAGCAAATGAGCTGGCAAAGCTGGGCACCTTCAGTATGGTCACTCCTGCCTCAGGGCCTTTGCACTGTCTTCCTGGGCCTGGGCCGTCTTCCTTAGGTCTTCACAGAACTACCTTCAGCACTTGTTTTGGGTTTTTGCTCAAATGTTACCTGTTCAGGGAGAAGCTTCCCACCCATGGCCCAGCTTTTCCTGTTCTCCAGAAAAGGACAAAAAGGATCCTTGGGGTAGGGACATGGCTCTGGCAGAGCACTTACCTAGCATGCACAAGGCCCTGGCTCCCTTGCAGCAGCACAAAAGAAAAGAAATTTAAAAAAAAAAAAGAAAAGAAAAGAAAAGAAGAAATGAGCCAGGTGTGGTGGCACACACCTGTCATCCCAGCCCTCTGGGAGGATGAGGCAGGAGGATCACAAGTTCAACCCTAACCTCTGCAACTTAATGATTTAGTGAAATGTGTTCTCAAAATTAAAGAATTTTGTAGCTCAGTGGAAAGGCACTCGGTTCAATCCCCAGTACTAGTACTACAAAAAAGGAAGAAGGCAGTGAGGAAAAGAGAAAGAAAGGAAAGGAATCTTGATGGGATGAGACCCAAAGCAGCCCCACAATTGATGGAAGTGGAGGTTCAAGGAGTAAGCTGAAGTAATTGGCTTTATAGTGGTGTCCTTCAGTCCAACCACCCATCCACTCATCCATCTATCTGTCTATCCGTCCATTCACCCACCCATCTGTTCTTCCATCCAGGTACCCATCCACCCAGGCATCCATCTATCCAACCGTCCATCCATCCCATCCATTTGTCTGTCATCCATCCATCAATCCAGCCAGCCAGCCAGCCAGCCATCTGGCCATTCACCCACCCATCCATTCATCCAGCCAGCCAGCCACCCACCCAACCACCCAGCTACCACCTATCATATGCCCATAGGTCCACCCATGCATCTAGCCAACATTTGCCGAGGGGCTACCACATCCCAGGCCCTCTCCCAGGGACTGGGAATAGAGCAGTAGAGGACTGAGTTGAGTGAGTGTATGGATTCAGCTGGCCATAACAGCAGCCATCCTCACTCAAAACACAGTTGCTGCATGGTTCATTTTCCCTGCATAGTTTCCTAACAAACTACAAATACACAAAACAATTAGAGTGGTATGTGGAGCTCTACACCCGGTCCTGACTCCAGGAAGGTGCCTGATTGTGACACCAGCTTAAGGTAAAGTAGGTATATTCCAGCTCTGATGAAGTCCCTCCCACCTTTTTTGTGATTCTGGGAAAGAGGAGAGACAGAGATAAGCAGAGAGACAGTGACGGACAGAGGGAATGAAGAAGTGGGAGAAACAGAGATACAGATGGCCAGAGCCCTTCCCAGCCCCGTGTGCCCTGCCCATTCAGCACCCCCCGCATCCCCCAGGCCAGTGTGGAAACTGAGCCCCAGAGAGGCAGCACACCTGCCCGGGCCCATCCAGCAGTGCCTTACCTGATCGGAGGGCCCCTTTTTCTCCAGAAAGCTCTCATGGTAGTGTGAAGGCTGGGTAGCCTTGGGCTTGGGGACCCGGGGAGGGCTCAGGGCTGAAGCCATGGCGGCTGGGGGGCTCTGGCTTCTCTTTCCAGCCAGCGTCCCAGCTGGGCCAGGAAGCCGAGAAACAGGTTCCAGGGGAATTTCCTCTTGCTGTCAGCAGGTCACCTCCTTCTCCTGCCAGCACTGGGCGGGCACTGGGCTGGGGCAGGTCCTAGGATCCTGGGGAAATCCCGGCCTCCAAAGGCTCCTGAGCTCAGAGGGGAGGTGGCGCCTGTGGGATTCGGAAGCGAGGACAGATTACACATACACACACACACATACACACACACCCCAAGAGCATAATATGAAGGCCCTATGTGTCATGTAGATGTGAGAATAAGCTTGCTTGTATCTCCAAAGACATCTTCCTGGGATTTCAAGACAAATGGCTCTAAATCTGTGCATCAATTTGAGGACACCTGACTTTTTTTTTTTTTTAAAGGACTGGGGACTAAACATAGAGCCTTCTCACTGAGCTATATGCCCAGCTGTCTCTCTCTCTCCATATATATATTTGGAATTTTGAGACTGTGTTTCACAAACTCATGATCCTCCTGCCTCTGCCTCCCAGAGTGCAGGGATTACAAGCATTTGCCTCCATGCTCTGCTCAGGGCAGCTTCTTCGTCTATTATGCTGTCTAATAAAGCTCACAACATCACAGTACTGTATAGAAGTGTTATAAATTGTCAGTTAAGACACAGGGATTAGTTTTAGTTTTGTCAGTGGCAGTGGGCGCCCTCGAGGGATTTAGAGCAGAGGAAGAAGGTGGAAATGGTTGCATTTTAGGGAGATTCCTCTGGGGTGGGGTGGCAGATGGATAGAATGGGGATAAGTGTGGGGTGGGAGGCTAGGGCCTGGGTGGGAGAAGCTGGAGGTCTGGCTGAGGGTTTTACAAAGCAAGAGACAGATGAGAAAGTTAAGAGGAAGTGGAGGATATGCCCTGGGGCCAGTTTTAACTGGGCAGCGTGGTCCACACTCTGGAACCCAGCATTCGGAGATGAGGCAGGATGATTACAAGTTTGAGCGCAACTTGGGCATTAGTGAGGCTCTTATCTTCAAAACCAAGGAAGGCCCTGGTTTAAACGCAGTACTGGAAAAAAAACTGGGGACTCCTCACCCCTAATATTCTGCCCCCTCTTTCCACTGACTGGTTTGGGCAAATCCCACTCGCGTTTGAGGACAGTCTTTGTCGCTTCTCAACTCTGGGATGTCCCCACTCCAGGCTTTCAGACCAGCCGGATAATGGGGGTGTCCTGGCCTCAGGACAAAGGTCCCTGGACAGGGCCTGGTGACTAGGGCCAGGGACAAAGGCCGGAGCCGCAAAGTCCAGGCGCGGAATCCGCCGAGCCCCGCCCCCTTTCCGCCCGCACAGGGGACCCGTGGGACAGGTCTTCACCGGGAGCTGTTTGGTTGGGTGAGAACAACCCCTGAACCTGATTGGATGGGTGAGAGCCCTGAGACTCCTGATGATTGGCCAATGTAAACAGTTGGGGATTGGCTGAATCCGAATCCAGCGGAATCAGCAGTTTAATATTGATTGGCTGAGCATGAATGCGGCTGCTGCCTGCGATTGGTTAAGAGTGAAATATAATTGGTTGGCAGGGCAATTAGAGAATTAGTTTAGGGAATGGGGCTAAATTAACCCTTTAGAGCCGGATGTGGTGGCGCATGCCTGTAATCTCAGCACTCTGGAGACTGAGGCAGGAGGATCGTTGCAAATTCGAGGCCAGCATGGGCTACATAGTGAGTTCAAGGCCAGCCTGAACTACATAGCGAGATCCTGCCTCAGAAAAACAGAAAACATAAACAGAATAACCTTCAGAGCCTGGAGCCTGGCCAGGGCATTTTATTCTCTGTACTCTGGGCTGCTTCCCCACTACAGTCTGATCCTTTCCCCACAACCGCAGTTTCTCCCTTGATCCCAACGCCCGAGACTTCTGAGTCCCTCAAGACAGGCGGGCCTGTTTTCCCATTCATTCCAGCGTCCTGAACCACTCTGGAGCCCCCATCTTCTGGCTGCAAACCAATAATAAGTGGTCTCAGGTGGAGCCACCAGACCACGAAAGCCGAGGTTCTGGGTTTCAGTTTCCTCCTCCAGGTCCCCATTATCCTCCAGCCTGTTTCCCGATGGGTGCCAGAAAACTGAACTCCTGGCCTCCCTTTCCCGCGCGTGCGCGGGCTCGATGCCTCAGTTTCCTGCTCATTTCGGCATGGAAGCCCTCATGCCCCGCCCCCCATCCTCAGGCTGCAGTTCGGTAGGGGGCGGCCTGGAGTGGAGCTGCGAGCTCCTTGGAAACGGAGGCCCCAAGACTCAGTTTCCTCCTCCAGGTGCCCACCGCTCTCCATCCTGTTTCCCGATTGGTCCCGGAGGAGTGAGTGCGCGAGCGTGCGCGTGCGCAGACCGAGGCCAAAGTTCGCGGGCGGGAAGCCGCGGGCCGAGCCCCGCGGCGCCCTCCGGCGGCGGCAGGCGATAGCTGGGGTCCCCCTAGAGGGGCGGGGCCGGGTCACGTGGCGGGAAGGACGCGCGGGGTGCGCCGGCCATGGAGGGTGCGGGACCTGCAGGTCGTGGGGCGCGGGGCGCGGGGCCTGGGGACGCGCGAGGCCCGCTGCAGCCTGGCGCTGTCCCTGCAGCTCCTGAGGCCCTGTCCCCCGCGGGCGGTGCGGGCGACGAAGCGCCGGATGAAGACGAGGAGGAGGCGGAGGCCGAGGACCCCGAGCGGCTGTCGGGCCCTGGGGGAGGGCGCGGCGGCGGCGGCGGCGGTGGCGCGGTCGGCGGGGCCGCGCCCGGGGTCTGCGGCGCGCTGGGGGGCGCGCTCACCAGGCGCGCTGTCACGCTGCGGGTGCTGCTCAAGGACGCGCTGCTGGAGCCGGGCTCCGGGGTGCTCTCTATCTACTACCTGGTGAGCAAGCGCTCGGGATCTCATACGGTTCGGGCAAGGGGGAAACTGAGCCCCAGCTCTGTGCAGAATGAGCCCCTATATGAGGAGGAGACACGGAGGCACGGAGTATCCAGACTGCTCGGAGGTCTTCTGGGCTAGAGGACGTGGTTCATTGAGTGCAACATTCCAGTCTTTTGGGGTGATGCACTCCTGTCATCCCAACACTGAGGGGCTGAGGAAGGAAGACCTCAGATTCGAGCCCAGCCTGGTAGCTTAGTGACTTAGCAAAACCCTATCTCAGAGTAAAAACTTTTAAAAGGCCTGGGGATGTAGGAGCTTGGTTAAATTCCCAGTTCCAACACAAACGCACACACAGTGCACCACTTCACAAAAGAGAAACTGAGGTTAAAGAAAGAGGCCCTTACTCGCATAGAGCCAGATGGGCCATAGCAGTGCCGAACTGGCTGTGTGACCTCGCTCAGCCTCTGAGTGATAGCAGTAGTTTCCCAATCTGTAAAATGGGATCTTTTTCTTCCCAGGACCCTTGCACAGTGTTAAATGAATAAAGCGTTTGGCAGGTAGCTACTTCCCAGAAAGGGCTTTTATTATAGGTGTGTGTTGTTATTACCATCACTGATATTGCCCTAAAGTTTTTTTTGTTTGTTTTACTTTGAGACAGGGTCTTGATAAGTTGCCCATGTTGGCCTTCAACTTGCAATCCCCCTGCCTCAGCCTCCCAGAGTGCTGGGATGACAGGTGTGTGCCACCACACCCCGCTGATTATTGTTTGAATTAAGTACCTGCTGTATCCAAGCCTGGGTGCTGGGTGCCGAGCTCAGAGCAGTAATCAAGACAGACCCTGTCCCCTCTCTTAGGGGAAGAAGTTCATTGGAGACCTGCAGCCAGATGGGAGGATTGTGTGGCAAGAAACTGGGCAAGTGTTCAACTCTCCCAGTGCCTGGGCTACACATTGCAAGAAGCTGGTCAACCCAGCCAAGAAGTCCGGCTGTGGCTGGGCCTCAGTCAAGTACAAGGGCCAGAAACTGGACAAGTATAAAGCTGCTTGGCTGCGGCGACACCAGCTGCACATGCCCACTGCTGCTGCTGATGAGGTTTGTCTTCCCTGACTCGCTGTTGGATTAGGCGTGCCGAGCTGGACGCAGTGCCTCCAGGACTGGGGCAGAGAGTAGGCTATAGTTGGGCAGAGCACTGAAGGAGAGGGGGACACAGCTCATGTAAAGGCCCTGGGGCAGGATGGAGCCCAGTGAGGTGCAAGAGCACCAAGGAGGGCCTGTGGCTGAAGCAGAGGGAACAAGGGGTTAGAGAGAGAGCAGAAGAGGTGAGGAGAAGACAGGTGGATCGTGGAGGGCCCAGTGGGCTGCAGGGAGGACTTGGGCTTTGGTCCTAGGGAGGTGGGAGCCATGGAAGTCTGAGGGCAGAAGGAGAGACCTGACTCCGGGCTCGCGGCGCCCTCTAGTGGCCGGTACAGGGCGGACAGGCTGTGAGGGTGAGGATGGAAGAGGTCCAGGAACCCACCCCTGGGTCCAAGAGAGGAGAGAGAAGCTGGAGCGTTGGGAGGAGGGGGCACCTGCCAGGTCAGACACTGCTAAGACAGTGGACAGGGAAGGATTTAGATTCAAAGAGGTCACCTCTGGAAGTGCAATTGTAAGACAGAACAGGAAGAGAAAGAATTGAGGGATGCTATAATCCTGTAGCTTGCTCAAAGAAGAGGGTAGCTGGGCATATGTTAGGTGTTTTGCACCCATTATCTTTTTTTTTTCTTTCTTTTTTTTGGTACCAGGGATCGAACTCGGGTCCTTGCACTTGCGAAGCAGGCGGCAGAGCCACTGAGCTAAATCCCCGGCCCCTGCACTCATTATCTTAATTCTCCTTATGGGGCCATTTCACAGATGAAAATAGAGCTCAGAGAGGTTAGGAAGCTGACTAGAGATCACAAAGCTTGTAAGAGGGAGAGGCTGAATTCAAACGTGAGAGCTCCACGAAGGTGTTCGAGCTGCGCACGCGCTGTGGACCGTCTCTGCGTACTGTCACCCCCTAGTGGTTAACTCAGGCAGTAGCACCTAGGGCTCAGGGCAGGCTGGAGGGAAAGGGGGGAGGTCACCGGCTGAGGTTCTTTGCTGCCCCCGCCCCACCAGAGCCCAGCCAGTGAAGCAGAAGAGGAGGAGCTGCTGATGGAGGAAGAGGAGGAGGAGGTTTTGGCGGGGGTTTCATCAGAAGACAAGAGTCGGAGACCCCTGGGGAAGGGTGCCACGGAGACTGCACACCCTGGTGAGGGGTGAGGGTGGGGAGTGGGACCAGGGGGGCAGGAGGACCCTGGGCAAAGGGGGGACCTTGATCTGCCCAACAGCCCTAGCCAAGGTGCCTAATTTCACTCCTTTTTTTTCTTGGTGGCTGTTCTGAGAATGGAAGCCAGGGCCTTTGGATTGAGCTACATCCCCCGCTGTTTTTCTGTTTTTAAATTTTGAGTCAGGGTCTTGCCAAATTGCCCAAGCTGACCTTGAACTTGTGGTCCTCTTGCCTCGGCCTCCCAGAGGCTGGGACAACAGGCATGTGCCACCACACCCAGCTTCTTGCTTGACTTTCTCGGCCTCCCAGAAGCTGGGATTACACACGCATGCCACCATGCCCGGTTTTACTGCCTGATATTTTAAGGCTGCCTCTAGACTGTTTTCTCTCCCTTTTCTTGGGTCTCCCTGCTTTGATCTCCAGAGTGGGCTGGGGAGACACGGACATTGCTTTTTCTCTTCTCTCTCCTCCCTCCAGAGGCCCCGCCCCCAGGGAAGCGGGCAGAAAGTAAGATCCGGGTGCCAGTGCGCTACTGCATGCTGGGCAGTCGTGACTCTGCCAGGTAAGATGTGCCCTGAGCCCGCTCCCACCCCTCATCCCCTTGGAGCCCATGCTTGGTGTCGAGGAGCAAGGATGGGGCGGTCAGAGAGCCCCAGGTCCTCAGAGCTGCAGGGAGGGCGTGGGGACCTGGTTTGGGGAGTGAAGAAAGAGCCTGGGGGTTGCTGAGGTTGTAACCCTTTTGGCCCCCAGGAGCCCCCACACCCTGGTGGAAGTAACATCCTTTGCAGCCATCAACAAATTCCAGCCATTCAATGTGGCCGTTTCCAGCAACGTGCTGTTTCTGCTGGTATGTGACCCACTTGCCGCCTTGTCCCTCAGTTTTCAGGGACAATGGGCACCTGGGCCTGGGCAGGGGGCTGGGACACTCAGGAGTCAGAGAGGGAAGGAGGGGGGCTTTGCAGTGACAGCTCCTTGAGAGGAGAGACCGTGCCTGCTTCATTTGCTTCTGGTAAACAGTAAGTGTGAACGGGCCGGGGATTTAGCTGAGTGGTTCCGCTGCCTGCCTTGCAAGTGCAAGGACCAAAGTTCGATCCCCAGTACCAAAGAAAAAAAAACAACAGTAAGTGCTCAATAAATGTTACTGGAAAACAGTAGTGTTCAAGAAATGAAGGAGAAGTTGGGCCGGCCCCTGCACGGGTCAGGAGGCTGATCCAGTCTTCCCCTCCCCTCCTCAGGACTTTCACAGCCACCTGACGAGGAGCGAGGTCGTGGGTTACCTGGGGGGCCGCTGGGACATCAACAGTCAGAGTGGGTATTTGGGGGCAGGTGGGTGGGGCGTTTGGGGCCAGGATGGACGCTTGCTTCTCCCTGCACAGTGCTCACAGTGCTGAGGGCCTTTCCCTGTCGGAGCCGGCTCGGGGATGCCGATATCGCAGCTGCCATTGAGGAGGAGGTGAGGGGGTGCCTGGGAGGAGCTGTCCTGGCTTCTGCTGTCCTCGCAGTGAGCGTGTCTGCCCTGGGACCCCACCAGCCTCTTCCCCCAGCCTCAGTTTCCTCATCTGTGAAACGCAAGTTGTCAGGTCTGGAACCTCACAGGCCCAGCGAGCGACATCATGCTGTCATGCAGCTCAGCGGCCCCTGGTGCTGCTCTAAGTAATCTGCATCTCCCTTTGTGACATCTGGGAATGTCCCCTCCTGCTCACGTCCATGCGTGGGCACATCTCTCTCTTTTTTTCAGTACTGAGATTGACCCAAGGGTGCACTGAGCTACATTTCTGGTCCTTTTTATTTAGTTTTTGGTACCGGGGATGGAATTTGGGACCTTGTGCCTATGAAACAAGCGGCAGAACCACTGAGCTGAATCCCTGGCCCCTGGCTCCTGGTCCTTTTTATTCTTTATTTTAAGGTGGTCTTCACTGAGTTGCCCAGGCTGGTCTCAAATTTGGAATCCTCCTGCCTCAGCCTCCCAGAGTGCTGGGATAATAGGTGTGCGCCACTGCGCTTAGCAGCTTTTTTACTTTTTTTTTTTGGGTACCGGGGATTGAACTCAGGACCTTGTGCTTGCAAGGCAGGCACTGGAACCACTGAGCTAAATCCCCAGCCCCAGGTTTTTTACTTTTTGAGACATGGTCCTGCCAAGTTCCCAGGCTGGCCTGGAGCTTGTACTCCTGCGCAGCCTCCTGAGTAGCTGAGATAACAGGTGTGTGCCAGGCCACCAGCTCATAGCTGTCCTTCTTGGCTGTCCCCATACTGGTGCTGTGTGGGTGGGGAGCAGGGCCCCAGGCTTGGCATTCAGCTAGCACTCTGGTGCCACCTCACCTTTGTGAGTCCCTGTCCCCAGATCTACCAGAGCCTGTTCCTGCGGGGCCTGTCCCTGGTGGGCTGGTACCACAGCCACCCACACAGCCCGGCGCTGCCCTCGCTGCAGGACATCGACGCGCAGATGGATTACCAGCTGCGGCTGCAGGGCGCCAGCAATGGCTTCCAGCCCTGCCTTGCCCTGCTTTGCTGTGAGGCGCTGCCTGGGGCAGTGGGAGGGGGAGCCTCGCAGGCAGGTGACCCCAGGTCCCAGCCCTCTCTCGCTGTCCACCCCCAGCCCCCTACTACGCCGGCAACCCAGGCCCCGAGTCCAAGATCGCGCCCTTCTGGGTCATGCCGCCTCCCGAGGTAGGGGGGCTGCTGTGGGAGGCTAGGGTCCAGGGAGTGGGGGGCGGCTGGGAGAGCTGCTGAGCCCCAAGGCTGGGGACTTTGGTTCTGGGGTACACTGGGGAGCTATGGCCTCAGTGACTCCTCTCCATGAATGGGGACATGAGTTATCCTAAGGCTTCACTGAGGGCCTGGTGTGGGGCCCAGGTAGCCCCACAGTGCTGCCTTCTTGGGCCCAGCCTGGTTTCATTCCCCAAGTCCTACCTGGGGTCAGATGTCAGTCTTGGAAAGAATTTGGGGGTCCTGGTGTTCTTCCTGGTAAATCCTGTCAGGGTGTCACACCCTGTCCCGCTGGCCAAAGTACTGAGCTCCCTAAAGTCCCCATGTGGCTCTGAGCTGCAGATCTCAGTGTGGGGAGCCCATCCCTGGCACCTCACGGCCTGTGCTTCTCTGACCTCCCACCCCAACCCTCCAGCAAAGGCCCAGTGATTACGGCATCCCCATGGACGTGGACATGGCCTGTGTGCAGGACACCTTCCTGACCAACGACATCCTCCATGAGATGGTGCGCCCTCTCCCTGCGGGTGGGGGCTTGGAGTGTGCGGGGAAGCCTGGCTCCCTGCCTGGACCAGCCCAGTGTCCCGTCCCCCCCCTCCTCCTTGCTGTCAGATGAGCTCTGGCCTGGGCCTCCCACCGCTGTCCGGCCTCCAAGTAGAGGTGGGAGGACTCTCTGTGGCAGTTTTTCTTTTGTGGATCTCACATAGGTTAGGCAAGGGCCATGCTACTGAGCTATATACCCCGCAGCGGGATGAACATTTCTAATAGCTATGCATTCATGTGTTTAAAAAAAAAAAGCTAAGGCCAGGCATGGTGGCACATTTGAGAGGCTGAAGCAGGAAGATTACAAGTCCGAGGCCAACCTGGACTACGTAGTGACAACTTGTTTGAAACCCCCCCCAGAACAAAAAAAAAAAACCACAACAAAAAAAGCTGAACCTGAGAGTCTAGTTGCCTTTTCTCTTATAAATGCTGGAGTGTAGCTGCAGAGGTCAAAACTGTTTTATTAATTTCTAATAAAGATAAAGGAGGCTTTCATCCTAAAAAAAAAAAAAAAAAAGCTGAACCTGTTCACTGCATCTTTCTGCCCCATGAGCGTTAACTGCTTAGGCTGCTCCATCCTCCTCTGTGGCCCTCGTTGGGTCACCCTCCTGGAGGGACCTGGGCTGCAGGGAGGGGAGGGAGCCAGGAGTCCATACCCTGTCCCCCAGATGCTGCTTGTGGACTTCTACAAGGGCGCCCCCGACCTCGTGAGGTTCCAAGAGGCCTGGAGCCTAGAGCACAGCTACCTCGACAAGCTCAAGGTGAGTGGTGCACCCCGGGCCACCCGGGGCCCAGCGTAGTGAGGAGGAAATGCAGACCTGGGTGTGCAGCTCAGTGGCAAGGCCCCAGGTTCCTTCCCTGGCGCCAACAGAAACAACACTGAGAAGCCCGAGCTCCTGACCCCGTGGGGACGTCCCTCCCATAGGGGGCTGGCTGTGTCTGGGCCTGGAGCTGTTGACCCAGGGCAGCTGCTCTGAACTTGGCCCCCGCGTCCGTGGGAGTTTTTAAGGGCCCAGCTGCCTTCTCAGTGTCCCGCTCACTTCCTGCCTGAAAGTCATTCTCAGAAAACAGCTTGCTCCGCTTTGCATACAGACTTTTGCCCCGGGGAGGTGGAGGGAGATGGGGTGAGCCCTCCCCTGGGCAGGGGGGCGGTGGGTTGGGAAAAGGGGCTTGGCCCCCAGGTGCAGCCTGACCCCAGCCCTGCTCTTTCCAGATCTCCCTGGCCAGCAGGACGCCCAAGGACCAGGGCCTGGGCCACGTGCTGGAGCAGGTGTGCAGTGTCCTCAAGCAGGCGGGGTGAGGCCCGCGCCCTCTTCCCACCTCATCCACCAGGTGGCTCTGGGTGACCGCGGCTGCATGATGCAAACGCTCTGACAATAAAGACTCCAGAGTAGCCAACAGTGCATGAGTGTTGGGTGGGCTCGGGTCTGGGGTGTAGGAGTGGGTGTTGGGGTGCCCCAGGCCCCCTGCACAAGACAAGGCTGAGGGTTGTAGAAAGAGACATTTAATACTTTTTAAAAAAGGAGTACATATCCATTTGGCCTGGACCACAAGCCAGGCCGGGGCACAAACCCCGTGTGATGGTGATGAGGGGGCAAGGGGAAGGCCGGAGCCTGGGGCCCAGGGCCTGTGTGGGTCCCTGGTGGAAGGAATGTGAACGTGGCCAGCCCGAGTCCCCCCAGTCAGCCTTTGGATCAGGAGAGAAAGCGGAAAGCAGGGTGGGGGTCCGAGGTGTGGGGACCCTGCCAGCCGCCTCCTCCTGGAGGAGCGAGAGTCCCAGATGACACGGCTGAGGGCAGCTCAGGGAGAAGGTGCTGGCAGCAGGGATCGGGGACGTTCGCTCTCCAGAGCTTTTGTGCTTGACCTTGGGGGGAAGCTGGGCGGTGGTCCCTGCAGCTGGTGGTGGCATCTTGTGCTGCAGACACCAGGCCAGGTGACATCGGGTAGGAGCTGGCGGTGCCTTGCAGTCTGGTCCCCGGCCACAGGGAGAGCTGGGGGGAGGCTGGAGGTGGGGGCCCCCGCTCCCCAGAAAGGGGTGTATGTGCAGGCAGGGCAGGGGACACAGGTGCCTGGGGAGTCCCAAGAGAGGCTGTGGCCCATCGCCAGCAACGGGCTGGGAGGGGGCTGAACACCAGGCCGAGTGGCCAGGGCCCCGCGCAGCCCTCTGCCCTGTTAAGGCAGTCAGACTGGGGCGGGCCCCTGATGAGGACGAGGGGCTTGGTGGAGGGAGGGGAGCAACTTTAGTGTTTCCGAGAGCACCTTAGTGTGGCCCGCCTTCACCTGAGCAGGAGGGACGGAAGCCCCGGCCCGGCCCGGCCCCGCGTGGACGTGCACTAGTGTAAACGGCGCTGAGCCGGGTGCCGAGTGGACCACGGGACACCCGTGGTGGTGGCAGCGGGCACGGCGGCTGCCGACTCACTGGGGCAGCGGCACGAGCACCTCCACGTAGCTGAGTGGGAAGAAGCCCGACTGGCCGTGCAGCATGCCCTCGTACCAGTTCTCGTCGATCTGGTTGGTGAGCGTGATGACATCGCCCTCGTGGAAGCCCAGCTCGCCATCGTTCTCAGGCTCAAAGTCGTAAAGCGCCTTGCAGCTCGGCTGGTCCAGGGGCGCTGGGGGTGGGAAGAGGGAGAGGGGGTGGGGTGGGGACCCAAGGTGGCTGGGCACAAAGGTGGACAGGGCTGGGAGACCCTCCTTCCACTGCTCTGGGCAAGGGGTGCCTGAAGGGAAGCCAAGGGGTGGACACCCCCTGCAGTGGTCACCAAAGGGGCTGCTGAGAAGGACTGGGGACACCCAGGGCCACGGGGCTGACCTGGGGTGAGCAGAGCCCTTGGGCCACCGTGTGGACAGCCCCAAGCTGGGGTTAGGGCAGCCCCTCCAGCCCTGAGCCAGACTCCTGGCCTTGGGGCCCCAGAGCTCCTTCCTGCCCGATGGCAGGCAGGAAGTCCCAGCTAGGAGGATCCGTGGCCACAGGGGTGCCGACCTCCATGAGGGAAAAAGGAAGGAGAGACCCTCTAAAACAGCCTGTGCCCGCTGTGCGCAGGGAGGGACACTCACGCATGCTCCTGCTGGGCGTCCGGATGGGCTTGTCGGAAGATCGGAAAGATGATGAAGCTGCTTGTGATCAAAACAGAGGCAGTTGACTGGTGGGCTCCCAGTCGCTGGAGTCCCTCCCCTGGGTCAGAGGGAGCAGGGGCTCTGGCCACCCCCAGCACGTCCCTGCCCCTTACCTGTGGCCTTGGGGGCTGGAGCGCAGGGGAAGCCCCCGTTGGACTGCTCAGGCTCTCCCAGGTCATAGGGCTCTCGGGGCTTGGGCTTGTACTCCCGCCGGGGGCGCGAGGAGGCCTCCCGGACCCTGTGAGGAGTGAGTGGGGCACAGGATGAGCACCGCTGTGCGAGGGAAGGGCCGGCCACAGGCCACAGGCCACGGGATGCATGGGGACTCCAGGGCCGTGGCTGCTCTTGGAGGCCCAGGGCTGGTGCACCTCAGGCCCTCAGGCCTTGTCAAGCCCCACACTCTGGCTGCAGACAAGTTGTCTTGGAGACAAGTTGTGGCGCAAAGCAGGAGGCTCCTGGGGTCAGGGCTGGCTCTGAATTGCCTGGTTCCTCTGACCTCTTGGGCCTCACGCCTCTTCTGCCCTCTCCAGGGGACCAGGATGAGCCCAGTGAGGTCCTGCCCCCCTGGGGACCCACCCAACACTGGCAGCCCGGCGACCTTTAGGAAGGCCAGGTGCACTGCTCATGCCAGCCGGCAGAGGGTACATGGCAACCTGAAGAGGCGCCGGGGACTCAGCCTCCCGGGCGGGCAGGCGGGCCGGCTCACCTGCGCTTGAGCTTGTCGGCCAGCTCCTCCAGGATCTGCATGGCCTGCCGGTGGTAGTCCAGCTGTGCGTCCACCAGGGCCGAGAGCTGGCTCACCTGCTCCACCTGTGGACAGGACCAGCAGGCTGAGGGGCTGCCCTGCTGAACCCACGCCAGCCCAGGGGAAAGCCACCCTGCGCCGGGCCTGCTCCCCAGGGCCACACACGTCGGTCTCCAGGAGGTTGTGCATGCTGGTCTCTGCCACCTCCTTGGACTCCTCGAACTTCTCCAAGGCCTGGCGCAGCTCCTCGTCAGGGATCTTGCCCTGCCGCTTCTTCTTGTAGTCGAAGTCCAGGCGGCGGCCCTCCAGCTTCTTCAGGTGGTGCTGCAGGCAGGTGGGTGGTGGCACAGGGTCACCAGGAGGCCCACCCCACCCCCGTGGCCCACGACCCGGGGGCTGGGCTGGCACCTGGATCTCCTTCAGGTCCTTGTCACACAGGTTCTGCAGGGGGTCGATGAAATTCTGCTTGACCTCGATGTCCAGAGAGTCCTTCACCTCGGCCAGGCGCTTCATGGACTCGCCCGCATCCAGCAGGGCGTCACCTGGGCAGGCACAGGTGTCAGGGACAGAGCAGGCTTCGTGACCCAAGTGCACTTTCTTTGGGCACAGCCCCTCCAGCCCCTCTGCCCGCCGCTCCGCTCACCAAAGTTGGACTCGCCGCCCAGCTCCTTCCCATGGCGAATCATGCTCTCGCCCAGCAGCCCCTCTGACTGTGGGTAGCCAGGGCTTTTCACCTGGCCCCGGATCTTGGACACCGTGTTGAGCATTGTTAGCTTGGCCCGAGAGGCTGCAATAGGACGGGCCGGTGGGTGCCCTGGAGCCTCTCACCCGTCCTAGGTCCTCTGCTCGGGCTCCAGCGGCCGCAGGAGGACTGGTGGTGCCTGGGAGAGGGGACCAGTCCCTTTTGGGACCAAGAGCTGCCCGTCCCTCATCGGTGGCACAGGGCTGAGGGCCTGCTGGTTTTGCTGTCTGTCCTGGGTAAAGGATCCCACCTCCCTCTCAGCCCAGAACACCCGTGTCACGCTACAAGGGCAGAGCCTGGGCCAGGTCAGTGGGATGGACGGCCCCTACATGCTGGGCCCAAGTCAGTGTGGGAAGCAAGGGCGTGGGCCAAGGACAGCCTGAGGACCTCTGGGTCCGGCCACGCCTGCAGCCCACCTCATTCCCACCTCATGCTCTGGTGACACAAAGGATCCTGAAGGACACAGGATCCCCAAGGGGCCAGGCAACTAAGTAGGCTGCCATCCTACCTGGGTTGGGCTGCAGGTACTCGATGGTTCTGACCAGCACTTCCGCCACGGCCTTGCTGGTGACATCCACCTTCTGTGACGACAGGTAGTGTGTGGGTTTCCCAGCCAGCTGCCCACCATGGGCCCCACCTGCTGCTGCTGCTGCTGGGGCTACCAGCTCCCAGCCTGGTCCTTAGAGCCCACATCTCGTGACACCTGCTGCACCCCACAGCCCTGCCGGGTCGCCCGCTTCCTGCAGAGCTGGGCTCTTCCTTACCTTCTCCATCTCCTTGAAGTCATCATCCAGCTTGGTCCCCTCAGCACCTCCGACCTTCTCACTGACCAGCTGGAGGACAGAAGGGGGGAAACGTGAGCTAGAGGAGGCCAAGCGGCAAGAGTGCCGCGCCTGCCAGAGACACTGAAGATGGCAGTGACAGCGAGACGCTGAGGCTGATGAGCAGGGGCAGTGCAGGTGGCTCTGCGTGATGCTGTGGGTGCCCCGTGAGCAGACAGTGAGGGACAGGGCAGCCCTCCCACTGTTGCCGTGACCCTGCCTGGCCCCCAGCACAGGAACAGCTGAGAGGCTGATCCCGAAGGTGCCAGCACACGCAGCCTGCTCTCGGCATCTACCACCTTCCTTCAGAGACTTGGTGCCCTGTCTTTAAAAGTCATTCCAGGCCAGGGATTTAGCTCAGTGGTTCCACCATCTGCCTCGCAAGTGCAAGGTCCCGAGTTCGATCCCCAGTACCAAGAAAAAAAAAGTCATCCCTGATGCTGTGACACAAACAGGGAGCATGGGTCCACTGCAAGCCTGGTGCCTCCACAGTGTGCGTGGCCCTGCCCTTCTGGGCCCACTGCTGGCAGGCATGACACTACTGAAAGGACCAGGCACGTGTAATGTGGTCAGTCACCCGTGTGTGCAAGCCCCCCACACCAGGCTGCAGCCAGAGTAGGCACAAGGGTGTCCCACGGTCAGCCCGTGTACACCTGTCAGGCTCCCCAGCTTAAAGCAGGCTGAGGGGTGACGTGAGGGTCCCTGTGGCTCTGCTGTGGGGTCCATAGGGCAGTAAGTGCCCCAGAGCACAGGCAGGGCTGGTGAGCACCCTGCAGGGCACCAGGTACCCAAGAGGAAGTGATGGGAGAAGGAAGTGGGGAGGCTACAGAGCTGTGGCTGGGGCTTGGAAGCTACTCCTGGCCTGTGCCCAATGGCCACCCATCTCGCTCTGCAAAAGGTGCCCTCTCCGAGGGGCTGGGGCTTGTCTGCTGGACCTGCCCACCAGTCCAGACCCCTCTGGGCCCAAGGGCCAACAGCTCTCAACCCAGCTGCACCCCTCTGTCCAAGTGAAAGGGCGGCTGGACCAGCTAGGAGAGGCAGGAAGGAAGGGGGTGGGGAGGGGACACCGTGGCCACCTGCGGCTGCCTCCTGTTTTGGCTGAAGGTGCCAGGACGGGGCTGGCATGTTTTGGGGGTGTTCCACTGTATTTCACGGGACAGTTTCACTTCTGGGTGTGGTAAGATGGGGGTTGCTGGGGAGGGTGGCCTCCCATGAGATCTGGCTCTTCCTCTGTAAACAATGAGACCTGAAGCCAGCAGAGCCCAAGACCGCAGCTTCCGGGCTTTGCACTGAACACCCTGTCTGTGCACAGAAGGGGTTCTGGGATCGGCTAGACCCATCTTGGTCACTGCTATGGGTCCCAGGGGACTCAGCCTTCCTGAACCCCAGTGCCTTCACGATGACCCCCACCACACCCACCACCCTTCCTCTCAGGGCACCCAGGAAGCTAGACCCCAGCTCTCTGGTGGGGTTCAGACTACCCAGAAGTCCCTACCCCACACACAGCTCACAGTCCAGTGCAAGTGTACTACATGGCTACTGAGAAAAGGGGAGAGAGCAAAGGCGCCTCGAGCCAACAGCAGCACAGCAACCACAAGGAAAGGCTGCAGCGGCCTGCACAGGCCCATCATGCTAGCGTTCTGGGAAGCTGAGGCTCACCCCGGGCAACCTAGCAAGACTGTCACAAAATGAAGTGACGAGTGCTGGGGATGTAGCTAGTGGAAAGGTCCTGGGTTCAATCCATGGGGTGCCTGCACATGGGGGCTGCCCTGGGGATCAGACCCCCTGCACTGCCAAGAGGCCGAGACCGGCAGGCAGGGACATGGCCCCAAAGAGGGCCACAGCTGAGCAGGATATCACTCGGGTTACCAGAAGGTACCTGGGGGCCCTCCGCATGAGGGGAGTGGAGGCCTGGGGGCCTGGGATGCCTTCCCGAGGGAGGCGGCTGTGATCCTTGGCTCCCTCCACAGTGGTGACAGTGCCTCCCAAGCTTCGGGCCTCACAGGACATGGTGAGGGACTGGCACAAGCCCACTCTGCCTCCCCGCAGCCGACAGCCACCCTGGAGCCAGGGGCCCTGGCAGGGCTCACAGGTGACTGAAACCCCGAGGTTTCCTGGGGACCAAGAGGCATCTCTGGTGGCCACTTGGCGGCAGCAGGAAGAGCAACTTGAATCAACTCAAATCCTGAGGCTGGGACACTGCCAATGGAAAGTCTGGTCATTTAATCATGCCAGCCAGGAAACCAGATCAATAGGACGTGAAAAGTAGGTGGGCCAACTGCAGGCTCCGTGACCGGGTGTGTGTGTGAGGGGCCCTAATCTGATGAATTAAGGGTTTAAGGAGGCCAGGGACATGGGCACAGGCCTGGTATCCCAACTATCCAGGAGCCTGAAGCTGGGAGACTGCCTCAAAATCACCTAAGAAGTGGGCTGAGGAGATAGCTCAGTTGGGAGTGCCTGCCTAGCATGAGGCCCCGGGTTCCATCCCCAGTGCCCTGGGAAAAAAAACATTGGGGTGGGGGATACACAAGCTGCTGGGTGCTCACTGCTGGACAGCAGCACCTCATTTCTTGGGAAGAGGCCAGCTCCCGGGTCTTTGTCCTCTCCAGGCCAGTCCTGCCCTCAGCCTGGCGACTTGTACCCGTGGATCCCTCAAAGGCTGGGACTGAGTCTTGCTGTTCTCTCAGGGAGGGTGTCTGGGACACACATGGCACTAGGGCCTTGGCATTCACTGTGCCACTGATCTGTCCCACAGACCCCACTGGGGGACACTGACGCATGAGGAGGCCAAGGGACTCACAGGCCCTGGAGCCACAGGTGGCTGGAGCCATGGGAAAGACCTGTCTACCCTTGTGCAGCCTGTAACCTTGGACCGGGCATCGCTCGAGGGGAATCGGGGCCTGCAGGGGCAGCCAGGCTGGGTGGCCTTGGAGCCCTCTGATGCATGTGTGGGGTGTTCAGGGTGGCTGGGCTGTCCCAGGCACGATGAGCCTCCCCTGCAGGGGGTAGGGGGTGAGCAGGGCAGGCTGTGGGGACACACGCCATCTCCTCAGCCTCCATTACAGCCCTCCCCCTGGCTGCAACCCAGAAACTGCCCACCTGGAAGCTGCTGCCTGGCCTCTAGGCCACTGTGTGCTCCGGTGCCAGACATGGGGATGCCAGCAAGGGCACTGCAGAGGCTCTGAATGGTACACCAGGTTCTCCAGAGAGGGAGCAGGCTCTGCAGGGACCCCACCACCCAGGAGGCCCAGCCCTGACAGGGGATCTGTGAGTGGCTCCTGGGTTACCAGGATGATGTCCAGAGCTGAACCTTGAGTGTGGCTGGACTAGGAGAGGCTTGCTGTGGGGGTGGCACAGCGAGGGCTGAGGCCATGGCAATGCTGTCTCCACAAAGGGACCCTTCCTGCCCCAACTGTAAAGCCTCATGGGCTGGAAACCAGTCCTCAGTCTGAGGAGCTGAGGCGTGAGAGGACCATGTGTCTCCGCCTTTATCCACTATGGGCTCCTGTAAATATCTGGAAGCTGACTGACGTGAGCCACTAACCACTTCTGTCATCACAGGAAGGAAGTGTCCTGCACGGTGCAACTCCCTGTAGCACACTGGAGACCCTCATGGGTGCCTGGATGTGCTGGCCTCATGGCTCTGGCCATGCTGGGGAAACTCCCTCTCCTCCTATCCCCCATAGCCCCATGGCTTTAGAAAGCAGCCTCTGTGAAAAGCAGCAGAGCGATGATGAGTCAAGAACAGGAAGAGGCTCCAATCTGCTTCCCATGGGATCCCAAACCATGCGCCACCACCCGCCCACCACAGGCCCAAAGGGACAGGCGCAGACCCTCAGACCCCCTCCAGAGCAGCCCAGGGTTACGTGGGAACGAAATTCTGGTGGCACAAGGATGGTGGTACTGAGAGCCTAGCCATGTCAGCTCGTCCCCAGTGGCCTGACGACCCCTCTTGGTGCTGACAGGCAGTGAGTGAGGCCATGGCTCCCCCATGGCTGGGACACAGGGAGGAACCTGACTCACGCATCTGTGACCAACCCTGCAAGGACGGGGAGCAGACAGGGCGCTGGAGTCAGAAAGGTGTCACTTTGGACGGAAGTGACCATGGCAATGGGACAACATGCTCTGTGGCTGTCAGGCAGTGACACCACAAGAGGCAGCTCTGCATGTCACTGTCCCTCAGAGGGGTGCAGCCTGGGGGCCAGAGGTCCCACCAGGGCCCTCTACTTGGGCTGGAAAGAACTCCTCAGTGTTAGGAAGTTACCTGCACTGGCATCCATATGGCCCTCCCAGCTCACGGGCCTCCTGCACTCTCCCCCTGCCCCTGCACACAGGATCCGGCCTGGACAGGTTCCTGCTTGGTTCTTGGTGGCCTGGGCTCTAGTGTGACTTCCTGTTAATGACTCCTGAGCCTTTCCAAGTGTGTGTTCGGACTCTGCATCCTCATTTATCCCACGTGCCGGCCAGTTTCCTACTGCTAACGACGGGTCTCGGGGGGTCCAGTGGGTGACTCCCCTCTCCCGTCCCTGGCTGGCCCAGGGCTCTGCCTGGAACTTATCCTCCGGTGGCAGGTGGCCCTCGCTGCCCCAGACCCTGGCCTGCGCCTGCACCCAGGGGACAACCCACACATGGTGCGCTCCGACATGGTCAGGGTGGAGAGCTGGCTGTGTTCCAGCCCCCGCCTTGCTGCCTGCCGCTGGAGCAGGCACTGAGCTCAGACCTGCGAGACTGTGGTGACCTGGGGCGGAACTGTGAGCAGCAGACCACGGCGAAGGTGAGGGCCACACAGCTGCGGGGTGGCAGAGGCTTTTCCCGCCACCTGTCCCCGGGATGGCAAGCCAAGGTGGGCGGGTGTGTCAGCTCTGCTCCTCCAGAACTGACTCAGCAATCCTTACATGGGGTAGGAGGACTCACACCCTGCCTAGCCCAGCTCCCGCCGTGGGTGGTGAAGGGAAGGGACAGGCTGAGGGCAGAGTGGGTCAGAGCCTAACCCTCCTGACACTGCGGCAGGG